TCCAAACATAGGCAGAATATCAAATTTGTTATCCAACTGCACAAAATAGAGTACAAATATCGTGCGAATAGAGTAAAAATATCCTGCGATATTCTACGATTATTTGAACAGTTGGTTATTTTGTACTGTAAAAAAACCTGTTTAATCAGTCAGCTGCGCGCGCTGCGCTTCTCTATACGCTCTGCTTTTCCCGCCTTATGAGAAATGAACAGAAAGACTCAGCAGAAAAAAAAGTGGTTGGATAATAAATAACTTATTAGACGTATTGGTGTGTAGTATCGCTGAGTATTTCTACGGCACAACTCGTTAAAATACTCAGCGACACTACAAATCAAAAGGTCTCATAAGATATATATATATCTAATTTTGTTAAATTAAATGTTAATGAACGGAACTTCGATTCCAACTGTGTCACAAACAGAGTCCGTCATAGGAACCAAAACTGGCGCCTGATGAGCAATCTGCCGGTTCCCTCAATTCCGTATCCGTCTGCTTTGGGAAAAAAAAATTGCAATCCTAAAGGCATACAATTTTTAGATTTCAAAACGTTATCCTGACCTCAGGTGCTATTCGAGAAAAATAATGATGATGGTGAAAGAAAAACAACACCGATTATTGGAAACTTTCTTTAAAATTCTTGCCCAAAGGTTCGTAGCATTCAAATACAAAGAACAGGATGCTTCATCTTTCTATAGTTATATCAACATCCAGCACCCAACATTAAGATTACTATGGAGAGGGAAGAAAACCACTAGCTACCCTTCTTAATTGTTCTTTTAAATGACAATAGAAATCAGGGCTTTATCACCTCGGTGTTTCACAAGAAGACTCCTACACTGATCTTCTCACTGAGTTTTACAGTTTTGTACCTTCCAGTTACAATCAGGATTAGGACGCACTCTTGTAGAACGAACATTTAAATTAATAATACATGGGCTTGCTTTTACCTTGACGTAAATAACCTTACTCATCGAGGATGTTGTAAGAAAATTTCTTAACAATAACTTCATGTCCGATTCTTCTCAGAGTGCTGCTCGCAAGGAAAACTGTTTTTATTTTAAATTACCGTACATCGGTCCTTTTTCCATCACAACGCAACGCAGAATTAAGAAATTAGTTAGCACATTTTGCAGCGACCTTGACATTAAGTTGGTGTTCACCCCGTTTAAAATTAAGAGTTGGTTTGGGGTCAAGGATCCTATCCCTGCGGGTTTATGATTGCGAGTTATTTATAAGTTTTCATATGTAGGCTGTACTGCCTGTTAGTTGGTGAAACCAACAATCACGTCGCAGTTCGCATCCGCAAACATCTATCTTCTGACAAACATTCCCACATCTTTCAGCACCTGAGAGGTTCTGAAAATTGTCGCTCCCTTTTGTTCAGGAGATTGTTTTAAAATTCTGGACTCTGCTTCCACAAGCTTCCAATTGAAAATTAAGGAAGCCATACACATCCTCTGGGAGCAGCCGTCTTTAAATTCCCAGGTCAAACATCTTAATTTATCCCTTTCTTACTAATTAGTCTCCTTACTTAGCTTAAGTAGTTTCACTTTTTTGTTTTTTTAATTATTCTTGTTAACATCTCACTTTGCTATACTATTTATTGCATAATTTCATTTATTTCTCATTTTACAACTGACGATGGATGATGTTTCATCCGAAACATGTTTTGTCTTCATTAAAAAATATAAAAAAATAAACTTCAAAAGCATCGTGTGGTTCATCAAAGCGATATCTTACTTCGAGCTGCAACGAAGCCTTATCGTCATTAATATTATCATTATTTTTATGATTACAATTGTTATTATTTTCAATATCATTATCATCATTACTGAGAATCATTTTGATTGTCATTGTCAGTATCATTAGTATTATTATCATTACCGTTATTATCATTATCACTTTGAACCTTTTTTCTTCAGCAGCACCACTAAAATCATTCAATGAGAAAAGATAAATTGGAAAGGAACGAGAAAAATTCGTGGGAGGTCCAAGAAAAGATTATCAGTCTCATCAGTCTGTCTCAAGTATGTCCAAAGTGGAGGACGGTATTGATACTGAGTCAAACACTTCAAAGGGATTGCGTCAACGTCTTGTCAAACCTTTAAGCCCTGTTTTTCTAAGTGGATAGTTTACAATCCGAGTCAGCGTACTCCATCTTTGATCACGCTTGTTCTGTCTTGGTTTGCTCTCTTTCTTGGGCTTTTTCTTTTTTTGCTAATCCACTGGATACTTTGTACTTCAAAAAAAAAAGTGCCTGAACTTAACGTTATTTTAAATGACGCAATAAGCGACCGATGAATTTGACGTTGATCGTTAAGTGCTTTAAGTGCGGCTAACCTGATCCTTAAAGAAGGACGAGAATAGCATGACAGACAATGATGAAGGAGCAATATTCAACGAGATAACACCACGTCGCGGACGAGGGGGGTCTTCTTTCATACGAGCTAGACAGATAAGGACCGATTTTAGTCCGAAACGGGTTTCAATTTAGACCTCTATGGTTTTAAAATGGGTTTGGTATCAAGGGAACCACCCTCTCTTCATTTCCACTGGAATTGATAAGAGAATAAAGGAACAGAGAAAGAGACTTAAACAAAATGTTACGTGCGATCTTAAACTTCTGATGCATTTTACTATATCTTAACCTTGGCACTGATGCGAAACTCTGGTGCGCAATTACTGTTGAAAACCACCGGGAAACGTCACTCATGTAATATGCTAAGCGGTTTCGCAAACACGAACACGACAATTAAACGTAGTCAAGGATTACAAAACTTTTCAATTAACCGACTGAAGGTCAAAACAATGCAGTATGTTACCCATGAACTTATTTCGAAAGTTACGTTCAGAAACGAATACTGATAAGCAGCCAGGTGTGGAAACAGGTGTAGAAAGTGACTTTTAATGAAGTACAATAATGGGTACCCTGCTCCCCTCCCCTCGGAGCCACGAGCTCCTTGTCCGCAAAGGGACAACGAAGGCGAGCGCGGATTTAGAGGTCAGATCTTTTCGAAACCTCAGGCCTCTATTATTCGAAGAGCTGTCTGCGATGATCCAAGATAAATAGCCAGGCGAGGTTTTTAATTTATTTTCTCCAAAACCGTACATAAGGCTTGGGTTTTTTAGCAAGGGTAAAACTGAAAGACTAGTCGTCACTGAAAATAGAACTGAGCAGTGATACTCTCCTCTGAGCCATCAGAACTACATGAAAATGATATATATCCCCTCCCCTCGGAGCCACGAGCTCCTTGTCCGCAAAGGGACAACGAAGGCGAGCGCGGATTTAGAGGTCAGATCTTTTCGAAACCTCAGGCCTCTATTATTCGAAGAGCTGTCTGCGATGATCCAAGATAAATAGCCAGGCGAGGTTTTTAATTTATTTTCTCCAAAACCGTACATAAGGCTTGGGTTTTTTAGCAAGGGTAAAACTGAAAGACTAGTCGTCACTGAAAATAGAACTGAGCAGTGATACTCTCCTCTGAGCCATCAGAACTACATGAAAATGATATATATCCGTGAAAGAAAAAAAAAATAAAAGAAAGAAAAAAAGATAGAAAAGAGGTTGTGGACGAATGTAACAAGTAAGTAAAAAGCCATGCAAAGATAATCGAGACAAATTTACGCGCACAGTGGCTGCATCTACACTTCAGTGCGCAACTTTGAAACATTCAATAGCTACCCGACTGAGGTACAATTCATATTCTAGTAATGTTGGAGAATTCTAAGGAAGCCTCATCGAAGCCCGTTGATATGATGATGTATCGTGAGACATATTTTGCAAAGGGAGGTTGCAAGGTAATTGAAAAGAAGTAGCGTTTGACCTCAGTAAGCAGTTTATCTCTTATATCCAACATTTATTAGCGTGCACGGAGAAAATCAATCACCATATACACGTAAACAAAATTGGTGTTAAGAGCCACTTCTTTCACAAGCACTCCTAAAAAGTGTCTCTTCTACGGATGAAATATTTTCAACTTCACAGGGCAATTTTTAGGGAGAAAAATCTTTGCTGGGAACGTTGTAGAAAATGGTTGATGGTGAAGGTATTAGTAAGCAATTCTTTTAAGAAAGATACATTACTATCGGTTAGGAAACCAGAAATGGTTTCAGGTTTCAAGTGAAGCAATCGAACCTCCCCGGAACAAAGCACTTGTGATTGTACCTTTGATAGCTCTTAACAACATACTTGACGGGATATCGCTAATGGCTACGAATGCGGAAAGTCAAGTCAAATAATTACGACGTGAGGGGAAAGAATTACGAACAGTTGAGAGAAGTTTGTACGACTGAAGTATTTAAAACATGTTCCACTGTTGTTTACTTTGAAATGCAAAGCATCACGTCTACGCGCGGTTGTGCAAGGGCGTATCTGTAACCGTGCCAAAATCTGCATTCACTGAGTACATAGCTGTAGTATTGAACATGTAACATTCTTCTGACAGTTTGTTAAAGTTGTCTGGTGACCAGCTGCTCTAATCATTGTGTTTTAAGAACGCCCGCCCCCGCCACGTGTCGTACAATAATGAGCCCTCTTAAAGAGAGCAGTGCCGTCACCTTGCGTTTACAGGGCTTAACAAATTTACCTTGCTAATCAAAAATGCATTCTTCATGTAAAACTTCAGCAAATTTAATGTCAATTACTATGTTGTTAGTTGACTAGGAAATGCGTAAAAAGCTTTAGAAACAACGTCAGAGATCCGGTGGCTTGTGAAAGAGGCTAATCAAATTTAAAACAAAACTTGCCTTAAGGCTAACTTGCCGAAGATCAATGAAACTCACTCGGATTTTGTTGTTCAAGAGGCTTAGTGTCCGCTCGAGTGAAAAAGACCCATTGTTTTCGTCTTTTAAGGGGTTGTCGTACGTTATTTCGGGCAACCAATCAAACGACACGTCGCTGTGATTTATTTGTCCAACGTGTGTATTGTCCTTGAACAATAAGCTGATATTATTGCTTTGAATGAAAAAAGGGCACAGACATTGATGAAAGAGCCATTGTTATTCTCTAATAAACTTTATTTATATATTGCGATCTAGGAACTGTCTTACAGAATGTTCGGATCAAATGTACAACATGGTCTTGTCTATGCGCCTCAACAACCTAAGTATGACCATAAGAAGTGAACACGCCACTGGCTCTCCTTGGTTTAATTACTTAAGATTCTACAAGAACACATAGCTTATTTACATTTTCTAGTATTCAAGAGCCATGCTTCTAACGAAACGCTAACAATCTATCTTACTTCTGTTATATATAATATATAAATTTTCTTTTTATCATCTGGAGACTCAATTGCTCACAACACAAAGTTTCGATCAAGCGGTTTGATAATAACGGACCGCCTTTTGCGAAGACATGACTAACAGTAGACTTGCATAACATGAGCAATTCCCTGGTCGAATATCTTTGATGAGACTTCGGGCAACTCGATGTTGTTGGTTAATGTTACAAGTTTTCAGTGTGGTATGGTTTGATGCGAATCGCCATGCGGTTGACACGTGTGGTTCGCTGTTAACACTTCTAACACAATTATCAGTCAAAAACTGTTGTAGCACTCGGCAATGTTGTATCAAATTGTGATGTAACCGGCTGTAGATAAATCGCAAGGTGCACAACAGGCAAGAAATTTATACAAAATATAAACGCGTGCAACGGAAAGTATTGCACTTAGCTGTCGTGCTGACGTACCAGAGTTCATTCAATTTACAACTCACGGACACTTTGTACAACTGTATGTTACATTACGAAGCAATAGAGTGAAGGAATGTCTGTGCGGGAATGTCTTTTGACAGTTGCTCCACATTGTAGATTTTGTTTTGTTTTGAACAGAACTCGTCAAGGGTTCGTTTGGTTCTGTTTGTGTGTGTATCTCTTACACTTGCACGAGCGAACAACTCGTACCCGATACTTGAACTTGTTCCCGTCTATGCACACGACAGTCACCTTCTTAGTTTTAACTTCGTCCGGGACACAACGCCACTCTCTCTTACGACGACTGATGACTTTGGAATATTCCGGAAACCAGGGCAGCTCATCCATAGGCATGCACTGTCCATCGCAAATTAGGTCGCGGAATGGTCTTCTACTCGTGCAGCGGCCATTCGACACATACCTACGAATCCGGATTCCTTGACATCCAAGGTTGAGAATGCCTAAGAAACAATACACATATGGTCAATAACAGACTTCCTTTGCACGCTGTCGACTCGTGGCACCACACACGCGTCCGGCCACTGACGAGTGTGAATGAAAATTTTCTGTACTGATCAATGGGTAAATAGCGCACAAGCGACGGATTCAAACAGTGTAAAAGTTTGTTAGAAGATGAATCATTTTGCTGCTAAATTACCTGCTGTTTGATGTGGCTTCTCTAATTCCAAGCCTGTTTCATCAGCAGAACTTTGAACCGCATTCGTTTCATTTGTAGCTGCTACACGAGGAATTGATTTTGCGGACGGTTCGTTCTGCCCATGTTCTCGCGCCTTTTGGCGAGCAATAACTCCATCCCAACACTTGCAGACGACAACGATTAGCAGTATGAAATTCCGTCGCCAACATCTCAATAAGATCATTATGCGTCGGGAATTTTTGTTCACAGTTATGAACGACTTTACAAGGAAGTTTAAGGTTAGGAAACAAAACTTTCCGTGTGTGGTGCTTTGCTGTTCAACAACTGGGAGGCGAATGTCAATAACACGAGATCTGGCGCCACTTGACATGAGATGTGCATGGCTGACCAATCGTAAAGCGTAGCTCCATAATAGCGCGCTCCCGCGAATGAACACAAATGACTTTGAAAATGAATCGGGTCAAACACAAAACACAAAGAGTTGTGTATTATTAAGAATATAAAAACAACCCAAAACACACCCTGAACGTTCTTTCTTAAACTGTGAATAAAAGCGACGTGAAAACAGTTGTGAAAGTTTGTTTAGCGAACAGCCACGTTCCTATTGGTGGTATGTAAATGAAGACTAAGTCTTGGTAAGCATCTTCCAGTATTCGTTTCCGGAGTCCTTTCATAATTTTATTGCACGCATGCTATTGGCAAACAAAAGCGAATAAACATCATCAATGTACAAAACGCATTCGCGTCTAACGTTTTATAAGGATTATCTCGGAATTTTGAGGATCTGAAGAACTGTGTTGAGGATGAAAAAAACTAACAGATCGAAGATTCTAGAAATTACCTTTTCATGTGACGCTTGTCGTGCGAATTAAGTGGTCTCACTGTCAGTACGGTTACTCTACACACAAAAGCTCTGCATGTAGCTTACCTCCCGTGATTTGTCAGGAGGTGCTCTTTCTGTTAATTTCACAGGTTGTCACAGTCTTTTTCTTAAACTATTTTCATGGAAAGCGACAAATCTTCTCCAATGAATGAAAATTGATCAATTTAGTAAGAAAAACAATATATTCTTCTATGTGCTGTGGCTGATATCAACTCTCAAACAGATCTTAGAGATAGAACTAAGTGTTGAGACGCCCCTAAATACAGGCCGCTTGTTTCACGCGGTTGTTATCTTTGGATAGTACTGCTCTAATAGGTTTGCCGTGAATTTTCGTACTCCAGTGTTTGGATTTAAATCAGGTTAGTCCTTTCTGCTTTCGTCTTCTATTTGCGTTACTATTTTAAGACCAAAGTGAGTTGGCATGTCTTTTGTAAAACAAGAACTCGTTTGGATGTACCAATATATACAAATTGGTCGTGCTATTAAACCACTCATAGTATCGTTATCTTTACGTATTTGCACGGAAATGCTTATCACGTTGTACAAACTTTACCGCTATGCGTTTGAAGGAGTAAAACCGCTTGATAATAGTGTACTTGCCAATAACTTGAGGCACTTTTTGCTCACGTCACGGAAATAAAGAACTATAATTACTTTCGAGTGTTCCAATTCCGGTTATGTTTGGATGAGTTCCCTAATTTCTCTTCGTAAAAGATCTGCTTCGCTCTTGATGTTGGTTAAAACGTCAGAACCCTAGCTCTTCTCAATAATTCACTGATATTTCTGTGCGCAATCATCACACACATGCCACAAGCTATATCAAACACTATGAAACGTGTCGCTCATTTTAAAGTAATTTATAGTACGCATATTAATTGTTTACGAAAGAAACTCGGGACAGCAGTTGATTTCAGGAGTTCTACATCGGAAGATTAAAACATACGCGATTGTAACTGGGAGAGCATGCAACCCAGGGAATAATTTCTTTACTGGTTTTTCCCGATGGGTAGCTAAATGGGTAGCTAAATAAAAAGTAAAATAGGGAAAAAATGAATAAATAGATAGCTAAATGACTAAATAAATATATTAAATCGATGCACTAATTAAATAAATAAATGAAGAAATAGGTTAATTAATAAAGGAGGAAGTTGGTCGGTGAATATGTAAATAATTCAAGCGTTGATGACATACGTGTAAATCAGGAAAAATAATTTAAAAAAAAATACACATATAGCTTGACAAGGCTTGATGATCACTCGATCACTCAGAGTATTTGACCTCAATACAAAACTGGTAAACATGATATTGAAATCCGGTGAAACAAATGCATCAATAACGCAGCGTATTGAATTAGTGAATCGAAAAAGCTGTCCCTTTAAACTATGAAAAGAACATGTTTTTTTTCATAAAAAATTACAAAACTTGAATCATAGAAGGGGTTACTGTCAGAGACAAGATTGTCTCTCGAAGAGATATGAAGGGCCTATTTGTTCGCGTAAAGAAATAGATGAAGGAACTTAGTGGTCTATCAATCTCACCAGAAAAAATGGTCTATATTTGTTTGGTTAAATTTCCCTAGTGTTTTAATGTCGCTGTGAAAACTAAAGATGAATCTTCCTTTTTTCTTTTTTAGTTTACTTAACAAATGCGCGTCTTGTGTTGCTATTAAGTCTTCTCTCTGTCCATTGGACTTTCAAACATTCTCTGTACATTTTCTCTGATTCAATTAAAAATTATTGTTATACAATGATACTCTTGAATGCCACCACGTGGCCAAAAATAAATCTCAAAGTTAGCGACACAATCAGGAATCAATAGGTCTGACTTTATCAGGTTCTTCATGTCATAATTGGGTACAATGTATGTAACGAAGCATGTGTTAACCCAATTTGATTTTATCTTTTTATTTTTAAGCATGGGCCCGTAACATGGGCCTGTAAAGGCGAGTTTGGATTTCGAAATACCCTCAGGTTCAAGGTATTTTCTATGGCTAACTTAACGAAAACAGATATTATTCTACGCTGGAGGTCTTTTTGTGAATTGAATTAGCCCCAACGACTCGAATAATTTATTTACCCTTTAAACCTTAACATCAGTAAGCGTATTCTCAATACCGTCCTCCACACATATCCAAAAGTGCAGACAAGGAGAATTTGTTTTTGAAACAATACAGAGCTTCTTTACTTGTTGATCATTCCATTGCTCTTGCGACGTTCATGAGCGATTCAGGGATGATGTTGTAAGAAGAAATTCGATGCTGGTCACCCATATGGATTTGACTTTCTATGTCCTGAAGCTCGCATGCAAACAGCGTGCCATTTGCTCATGTTCATTCATAAACCAGTGTAAGGCCATGTACGTGTACGTTTGTCCGCAATCCTGATATTAAACCGTTGATGTCTTATCAGCTCGTTAGTGGCTTAACTTCGCAATTCGCCTCATTTCCTCCCCTACTTCAAGTTCTAGTAGCCACCTCTGTAGCGTCTAACATGCCTCAGCTAACAACCTCTGCGATCTTCAATCACTGAAACTTGATGAGTGGGTTCATTTCAATGAAAGACAGTTGAAGATTCAAGGAAATTAAACGTTTAGAGTTGAACAAATGCCAAACTTCACAATTTTGAGTCGAAACCAAATGAATCAGAAAAAGATACGATACTCTCTCATTTGTATTAGACTCAGCACATGCAAAATTCGACGCTTATGTCTCAAATATCGTGAGGACTTAAACTTTTACTTTTCTTGCATTTTATCAAGACTTACTAAAAAAAACCAAAACAACAACAACAAAGCGCCACATATAAATTTGGTCAACATTTACTTCTTCAAGAGCCCTAGAAATTAACAATTTCACAAGGATGTTTGTAATCCTCGTCAGTAAAAACTAGCAAAATACATAAATATTACAAGCAGACACCGCTATAAAGAATTAAGGTGTAGCGTATATCGGGTGTAACATGGACTTGTAAAGTGATACAGAATCGGCTTCCTAGCGCTGTGCGAGTTACCACACCAAGTCGCACATCAATCAACAGAAGTAACCCGACAGCTCTTTTTTTTAAGCAAGAAAAACTTCATTAAGCCAGTGTGAGTTATTTTCAGTCACTGCTGGTTGGTTGGTGTGAAGTTTGATTTATAAAACACGAAAATATTTGGTTTTGTCCAGGCTGACGCATGCGCAGCAGCTGCTGACTTGAAAACCGTAACGTTTAGCAGCAGTAAATCAGCTGCTGCCCAGTCCTCACGCCAAATAGGCGTAAGTATCTTTCTCTCCTTCCACTCGCTCGAGGTATTCCTTTTCTATTAGGATGTCGATACATTTCTGTAAACATAAATCCAAAAAAAAAAGGAAGAGAAAAAGAGAAATATCATTAGTAAGGTCACTGCTTCTATTGCAGTGCGCATCCTTACTGCGCATTCATTCAAGCGTAATTTACGCCATTACCGAACCAAGAGTTTCAGGTTGGCTATGCAAGACCCAATGCGCAATGTATAAGAGCTCTGGGGGTCGAGACTGGGTGTGCGCACGTTCGTTGAAAATTAACAACTAATTTTGTGAGCCAGAACACGCCAGAAAGGCAAGCCGCTGCCGATAGTGGTCATCTATCTTTGCTATCGATTCTTCGAACTTGAATGGATGTCTTAACTCTTTAACTCCCATAAGTGATCAAACAGAATTTCTCCCAACCAAAATCAATACAATATCAAGAGGACGAGTGATAAGAATACAGAAAAATATCAATTAGGGAATTATTAGTTGATCCAATACCAAATTCTTTGTATGGCAAACTGTGAGGAGAACTAGTAATGAGATCTTAGGAGTGAAAGGGTTCAGTAAGTAAGCCATTTCTCGCAGCACAACACAAACCCGTAAGTCGCAGGAAACGTGAATTAAGTAAGCCCTCACAAATACAAGCAAAAGACCTGCATGTATATAGAGCTTCTGCTCCCTAACGGGTGCGAGAAATCTTCCTTACTTGAAAATTAAAGTTTCAAAACGATTATGAACCAAGAAACTTACCCTCTTTAAACACAATAGTCAGTTTGGCTTGGTAGCCAAATGTAGAAACATGAGAAAGAGCGGAAAAAGATATACCTTAATGACTGGAACCCTGGGTTTGAATCTGCTCGACAGCTGTGATAACACCTCTGCCAGCAGAGGTTGGTGTTTTAGCATCTTCCTCATCTTCATGATTCGTACAATTGCCGCCTGTGAACAAAGTAACAAAACTTGGTTACATCAGAGACACCAACTTCAGTTCTTCCTCTCCAGGCAGCAATGTGTCATTATCAAGCAAGATTCTTATGCTGGGCTGTCCGCCTGAGACAGGTTTAACATGTTATCAGCGCAATCTTGTCTATAAGACAAGAGTCGTGACTGTTTAAATTTGGACTTGAGAGTAAAGTTAATAGGCCACAAAGTCTCTTTGCCCTCTAGTATTTTCCGATTGTTATATTTCCAGTCGCAGCCCATTCATGGGACGCGAGGATTTGAGGTTCGCTGACATGAGCACTAACCTCAGATACTAGTTCTGCTAATATTACTACACTAATAACAGTAATTAATAATAATAATAATAATAATAATAGTAATAGGAATACTCGATATTTTTTGCCTTCGCAAAAGAATATCAGTACGCATGGCATACCTTTGCAGTACAGATGCACCACAGGCTCATTCAACATTTGCATAATGAACAGAAAAAATGGCCTCGCAACAAAGGTCACGCACAAACAACTTTTTACCTGAATGAGAAGTTTCCTGTCTTCCTCGATGTATTTGTGTGTTTGTTCCTGTTCTTGTTTCTGCTCTGTTTTCATCGGCACATTGATGTTAACCCTCAGTTTCTTACTGTCAAGTGAACAAATTTCATTCAAATTTATACGTTACAAGTGTGCAAATTCGGTAAACCTTAGTGTCGCTAGAAACAGATACTCCAAAATCCGTCCCCATTATGCTATGTTTTACCGATTAGGATGCACATGTACCATTTGATAATCACATAAAATTCAAACACTTTAATACACACTTACCTTTTGTATCCTAAGTTAAGGCTGACTGAGGTCTGGCGGTCTATGTTGGAGCCATCATCAGATGTATCGCACACCTGGCCGATTGAAAAAAAAAACCCATTTGCCTAAGCATTGTAAATTCGTCCTTAACTCGGTCTTTTTGGCCTAACTGATCCACGAGGAACACTACAACCATCAAAATCTGACGGGAAGACGCACAATGCAACCTTCCACAAGTAATCCACGTTTCCATTGTTTACCAATACTTTTGAGCGAATTCGTTTTATTCGAGACAAGATTCCTCCATGTTGGACTGTTTACTCCTGAAAAGCAACTTACAGCTAGAGTGGCAAAGGAGTCAGAATACATTGAGGTTGAATTATTTTTGAGAGAATCACACTTCTTCTAAACTAGATTCAAAAATTCTTTCAGAACTTATCAAACAAAATCACAGTCTCACTCACAAGAAGCTTTGACTTCAACAAAATTCCCAGGACTTGCGAGAGAATATCCTGCGAACAGAGAAATCATTGAAGGTATATAACTATGTTTCGGTGCAAAATATCTATAAAACAGATTAATGGCACGGATCGAAGAGTTTCAGATAATTAACGTTCCTTGACTAAGAACTAAAGTGATGGAAGAAATATCTGTAAGTTTCTGGCTTTGTTAAAGAATAATTTATCGTGAACACGATATTGTACACGATTGTAAATAAAAGGAACATTTCTCTGCCAGATTACAAGAGTGATAGAATTTTAAAAGTAATTTTTTCTTACACAGCAAAGAGCACTCACCGTTTTAAGTTGAGTCTGTTCTTGAATCTGTTCCATAGTCAGACTCTCTGAGTTATTGAACATGAGCAAAACTCCCATCTGATATGTCGATGCCTACAACCAAAAAAAATACATTTTTCGCAACACAAAAAGCTACAAGCAAGTAAGAATAAGCATCGCTTCCAAGGCGCAATAGACAGAAGAGAGACAGGAGAAGCGTGAGCTATGAGAGTCAAGCGAAAGCATAGGGCAAAATGGAGCAAACATACTAGGCGCAGGGGAAGGGAGGGGCGGGCTTTTTCCGTCCCTGTCCAACCACCTAGTTCATCGCTTATCACTCGCTTTCGCCCCATGACCTTGCACACCTCCTCCCCAGATAAGAGGAGACAAAAATGCCTGCCAAGCGGGGCAAGAAAGCGATTGCAAGCGAGCGTTTATCATTGGGTATCACCAAAACCAAAGTAATCATATCAACCATGAGAATGAGAAGTCAAAGTGAAAACGAGCAACCTGTGTGTGAGGAGGGAAAATGCGACTGAAAGAGTAAGAATTAGTTTTATTTTTCAACTGATTGATTGAAAGGTTGGTGGTTTTTTATATTTATCAGGGCAGAGTAAAGCAAAACCGATGCAATTCCGCATTATTTTCGACAATGTCACAAAGCACTTTGTTTGCCTAGTGGATCAAATATTGGCACAACTGATGAAGGGCAAAACGTTTCGCGACTATCATTTTATCGTTGAATGCACCAGGGTGCGTAGTATTTTACTTAAATAATAAGAGTGCGGTTCGTATACGCGAAGGAAAAAACGGAATTGAATACAATGAAACACCACACTACCCAAAAGAACTGCGCCCTCACCTGCAGAATGTAACGGTTTTTGAAGCAGTTTGTGACTAGTTCTCCCTGTAAGAACAATTAACAGCTTACATTAGCTTACGTTTGTAGCAAGTGGATAACGAATCAGCATCAGGTTCAAGAGGTATTTCTCCAAAAAATTTAAAAGAAAAGAGCGATTGCACCACAGCTGGAAAAGATGATTCTGTGACTTAACATCCTGTTGTTTGGAATGATAGCTTTTTCAGGGTACATTTTTCACACGAATTACGGCTCAGGAGTAGTAGTACCACTAAATAACACCTTCTCTGATGTGATTTAAGAATGTCTGTGAGAACACAGTTCTGTTAACCTTAGACATGTGGTAGACCCAATGTAGCTTCCGACCACTGTGTTGACTGCTGTAAAATGTCGTGAAACGTTGATGACTTCTTTCCATCTACATAAGAAAAGGAGGAACAAAGTTTAGCTCACACAGCCGCTGCTGATAGATGACGAAAGGCTTCATTTCACAGAGATGACAGATATGCTACGGTGTATTCAAGTTTATTTTGTGTCATTCGCAGGTTTAATCGTTGAACGACTACAAACTTAAAGCGGATGCTATATGCAGTGCAATGCAGCTAGATGAAGTGATGTGGAATACAATGCAATACAGTATAGGTAAGGCTTATTGCGAGTGTGAAAACAAGTGTTTCGTTCGAAAAGATTCCTTCACACGTGAAAGCATTTCAAAATCAAACCGTTTTACCTCTGCTGGTAGTGAAAATGGTGCTGATTGCTGGAACGGCCACGAGCCTGAACTTAAAACCTGGATTGTAAAGTCCACTACGAATACAGAAATCAGAACAAAAAATATTCAGTATTACAAACAGTGAAATAATAATGATAATAATAATAATGATGATAATAGTTATAATAATAATAAAAAATGAACGAATCATCGAAGAAGTTACTTATTTTAAAGATAAAAAAAACATTACTCTTGCTTCTATACAAAGTCAGTTCATAGTAAATTTATCTTCATCGCGCGCAGTGAAGATAGCGGTTATATCTGCAAACGCGGAGATAACGATGCTGACGTGGTAACAAGATATACCTAAATGACATTGTATGCTTAATTTGAATTTATATCATCTAATCACCTAAAAAAAATTCTTATAAAGAGCTTATACAACATTCATGCAAGCTGAGTTTGAATGCAGGTGATCACTGCATTTAGTGCTCTTAAATGTATTAAAATCGTCTTTGATAAGAATACTTCACTATTATCTATAACATAAAAGAACACTATGACATCCATATCTCATCAACACTCGAAGATGCAAGTAAAATTTGTATTCGTGCACAGCCACGCAAAATCATATACAGTATACAGTAGCATTAGTTTCGTACAACTTCACTTTGTAGTGACTTACAATCTAAAGATTCTGTGTTTGCTAGATGTGCCTTGAACTTGTCATTGAGATCTTTGCTAACACCTATGTCTTGAAACATTCTTTGAAGTTTTGATGTGTACTCAAAACCACATGCTTGCTGTTAGGAGAGAACAAATCGAAACAATGACATCCAAGGTAACAAAAAATCCACCTGACTACATTCTGATTGCATTGTGTGATGGCCTTGGTGGGAGTAGCCCTAAAGAAAACTTCACTCGAGAGAACTTTGGTGATTTACTATTTAGGTTTCATCGCCTGTGGTAGTCATTCTAACTGACAAAAACGTTTCCAGGACTCCTCCCATATATAATCAGAACACTCCCCTTTACCTGCATAGTCTCAGCCTTGTGTGTACATCTCTAGGAATTTTTGTCAGCCAACTTCCGATGACTAGCAGAATGAACTATGCTGGGGAAAAGGTTTCTTGTAGTCTACTTCTTACTCGGATTTATCCAGTCCAAAAAAACTTTTGACTGCAGACAAAACTAAGTACCCTAATGATTGTGAATGTCTGAACTGTAAGTCAAAACTGCTACCTTTGACTGACAAAACAATGTTAGATTTTGACGGACGTTACTGCTATTGGGACCTTGCACCTTTTGTGTCTGTATGAGAGATTTGACTGTACAACTAAATGTGAGTTCCTTGCATTGATACACTTTCCATCCTTATATGCTGTGTCTAATGATTGTGTTACCTTAAGTTTAGAAATCATGCTAGCTTCTGCATCATCTGAAGCTGAGTTATGTTGTACTAATCTCTTAGCCAACATCTTGGAATAAAACTTCTGGAAAACATCTTTGTCTTCAATGTACTTGAACACAACCATCTACACAACATTTGAATGGAAACACATAGCAGTCAAAAAAGCTTGTCTCTTTAAGGTTGGCAACATGAAAAAACTGTATGGTGAAAAATTTTATGCATGACCACTCACTACAGAGTTAAGAATGTCTTCCAATTCAGCTTCTTCTGGATTCTTTGAGCTATGAATGAAATAATATTAATGTTCAGATGTGATTTCAAATTTTATCCAGAATCGAGAACATAATGCAGAGTTCTTAGAAGAAATCAAAAGCCTTTCTAGAGGTGGTAATCAGTATGCCTCCTAAATCTACCCTCGCAATCTTTTAACAAGGCATTTCTTGCATACATACAACCTGGAAGAACTTTATGCTTTTGTATATTAGAAGAATAATTTTAACAGGTTACCTTTTTTTTAGCAGTGAATCGCAGTATCTGGCAAGAAGTTCAGGAGACTTTGATGAGCTATTAGCTTGTTTAGTGACAGAGTTACTATTAATAAATTTGCCACAAGCCTGTTAAATAAAAGAAAGTAATAACACATTACTAACATCAAATAACAACTGATCACTCAAAATGGACAACAACTCATTCTTCTGAAAAAGGAGTTATTAAAAAAGCTTGTCTCATCAACAGGTGGCCAAAAAGAAACCTTTATTTACTCTTCGCATTTCCATGTAAACTGAAGACTGATACTTTCAAGATATTTGTTTCATCCAACCATGGGCATACTCCATAATGCTAAAGTACCTTGTCTAGTGCTGCTACAAATCCAGCATCATTGTTAAAAGCTGTCAAGACAAGGGCATTGTACTTGTGATGTACTTCAAGAATAGTTTCTACATACACCTTTGGGTCCTGAAAGAGTAACATATCATTAATAAATGATCAAATATCCTCTTCCACTACTGATAATTTGAAATAATAAAACATTCACTATGAAAAACAAGATATGTGTTAGTCTTACTCACATTAAATGCTTGATCTCCACACTTTTCTAAAGCATTAAGACCCTGGTTTGTTATGTGATTTTCCAAAAGGGTTCGAAGCTGCCCTAATCCATCAGGTATTCTGGCAACCAAGTTGTACATGCGACCAAGATCTGAGATACAAACAGAAATTACAGTAAAAGGGTAAATTGGAGGGCAAATAGAGAAATTCAATTTGACAAAACTAACTCAAGATGTCCTAGTTTTTTTTTTTTGTTTGTTGTTTTTTTGAGACATAAAGGGCCCAAAAGTTTTGGAAAATTAAAGATCAAGAAGGAAAAATATTCTGAGTTAATACTTAAGTTATCTGCATGAGATAAGTCATTCCTAGTAGGCTTATTAATATTTTTACAAACCTTACCTTCATTCTTGTCATCATCTAAAAGATTTTGGAATTCTGAATAAAAAATATCCAGATGCTTTTCTATCAGCACGTGTTCACATTTCCTTGCAAGCTAGAAACAAAGAAGGCAGCACCTTTAGTGGAGATTACAAACTAATTTCCAAGCTGCTCATGTTTGTATGCACTGGACCAAAATTCAATACTTTTTAGCAACAGGTACATATCACCAACACATCTTTCTCTCTTTGATAGGGGAGCTCAAAATTACCTCCTTCTTAATCTTTCTCTATGTAGAAAGCTTTCTACATTTCTGTACAACCATTATCAGTTGGATGAGGTGTGGAAAAAGTTTAGAGATGGTGTGGTTATGGGCAATCTTCCTCATAACCAGTGGTACAGAAATTTCAAGAAAAGTGTATTCCCAACTGTCAAACATGAAAGCCTGCCAAAAGCAGTCAAACAACATGTTGCAAATGGAAACAGAGCCAGTTGTGTGTAACAAGCATACAATTCCAATGATAAAATGTGGTCGCCAAACTTCTGTATTTCAATTTAAAATTTGATCAGGCTGAGATACAAATCCTGACACTGGAGTTAGATTTTTCTTTAAACCCCTACCAATGAAAAATTTTTAGCATCTTATTTATTTCAGCTTAACTCTTTTTCAAGAAAAGTAATTGCAATATCAAGCCTATTTTATCATTCATTTCATACTCCATCTTGTGTGCTTTCATGTAGGTAAACTTGGACCCTTCTTTGTTCCTCTAATAGTCTGGCCTCAGCCTGATAAAAACAATAATACAAAAATATACAGAAATCAAATGAAAGTCATACATGTTTAAATTGTTTCACATCAATATACATGTACATGTGAAGTGTTATTTTGTTCATTTCAAGTTTCAAAATATAACTACAATCATTTATAACACTAAAATTAGACACAGCTCTCCTCTTTCTCTCACATACACACACACACAAAAAAGAAAACTGCTTAAAAATCAATAAGGTAAAAAAAGGTTAAACCTGCCTCCCTTCATATTCAAAGTAAAAGATTAAAAGCTGCAACACTACATGTAGTACATTCAAACACTGATTATCCAGACCTAAATTATCTGTTTTTTTTTTCTTATACAAAATATTTGGGTCCCATTTTTTATGAATATCAATTAATCACATTCCCGATCCATATGACTTTTTTCCATCACATAAAGCACATGTAATGAAACTTCCATTGGTAAAGAATTTGTTCCACTCTTCAAAGCAATTGAATGCTTAGATAAATTTTTGCAAATACCTTTGGCCAATGGTAACAATTTATGTACCATGATTTGAGAATGTGCTTTAATTCCTACACAATGTTAATAGGTCCTTTAGGTTATTCAGTTTTATTTTGGCTCATTAATATTCATATTTTTACTATCCAGACTATTCAACACCGTCTTCATGAGTCCAGACAATCGAGGTTCAACTGTAACTTTGATGAGAAGTTTGAGGATATAGAATGAAAGGATGATGGAGACATATTGTAATTCAAGCCCACTGAGAAAGTCTCAAGTATGTGTACAGGGGCATCTGCAACTACTGTTAGTCAGTCACATACTACAGGAAATTTCTCAGAGAGCAATAACGAAGCTGAAGTATTTCCTTTAATTGAAGTATTTTTCAGAATCCTCTAAAATAAAGGTAATAACACAAGCAAGAAGCTTACATGTTACAGTTTTAATTGATGCAACTCTACCTTTTTCATGTACTCTGTTACAGGGTTTTCCCTCAGAAATTCTGTACTTTCTGTTGTGTAAAATCTCTCTGTATCTTCCAAAAATACTGACTCAAAAGAGGCTTTGTAAACACTGAGGGTGGGTCCTTTTGCTGAAGGATCATCTTCATTCAGGCCAAGTTCAACTGTAAGAAGAAAAATTCATATATCTATGTACTCAACAAAACATGCTGTTTCTGATTGGTCAATGACGAAATCATGGCTGCAACCAAATAATCTTCATTCATCAGTGCAACTCCAGTAGTACATGCTGTACAACTGGATTAAAAGCAAACAGACGCAAAATATACATGTACAACTTGGAAATTAGAATTAAACATGGACCAGCATCCTATTTCTCCTGACAGCAATACTGCTGAATCATTCAGTAAGATTGTGAGAATAAGGGAAATGATAACGGACCCACAAAGCTTTGATTGTTAAACAAATTCACCCTGTCAGTACCATAGGAAATGTATTAAGAAGAGCATGTAGAAGAGGAGTATCAATGTTGGTGTGTAAAGGAGTAATGTAACATTCTGCAGTGGAAAGTGAATATTAAATAAAAATTCTGTTTTATTTTCACTTTCCACTGCAGACTACAAGCATTTATTCAAATTAATTTTATCCATATTTTTCCAAACCAAATTAACTTGTCCTCACTGGAAACATCAGAAGGGTGTGTTTCAATAGTTTGCAAGGTGAATATATGTAAAGCAGTTTAAGGATTAATCCAAAATCAAAATGTACCATAACACTGGATCACTCCACTGACAAGTCTTGTGTTGATGGTTTCACCATTCCTTTCTCTCTCAATTAACCTCAGCACAGCATTTGTCACCTGTTAAAAGCATGGTAGTAATGAGCCCACTGGATAAAAAGGAACCCTGAACACTACAACAAGTATTGACACAAAGATAAGGAGACTGATGAGTTATCAAGTCATTACCTGTCTGTTGAGTGGTCGGAATAGATTTTCCCTCCATGTTACTAGGGCAAGCTTAAAGTGGACAAGAACAAAATTGAATTAAGAGTAGTTGGTAAAAAGTGTCTAACCAGAACTAAATGATTTCTATTTGTACATATAAATGATAAAGAAAAAGGGGAGAGAGTATCTGTGTATATGTGTATTTTGCATACACATATACACAAATATTTTTTGTCTTGTTTCTATTTCACTTTGTGGTGTAGCCAGCCTCAAAAAGCTTTGATATCATGTTTTTTATTTCTCATTCTAGAGGCTTAGATCATCATATCTCAGGGATACATGAACCACATGTATGCATGCACAACTGTACACACATAAAGTCAAGCAATTTCAAGATACTGGTACAGTAAACCAAAAAAAAAAAAAAAAAGTGTCATAAAAATAAGGTGACATGAACTAGAGAAATGACACTAAAGCTGTAAGTGATAAAGTGATCCTTGTGGCCAAGTTTTTAATTTACGCAATTCACACAAATGAAGCCTAAAAGGTAAACTTCCTTTGACAATCTATACCTGCACATCTATATTGCTGATACTTACTGAATAAATTTCATATATGCCTTTTCTTCCTTCATCACACTCTCGACGAACCCAATGTCGGTTGAGATAAGCGCATACCCCATTTAAAACTTTGCTTGAAAACCTATAATCCTCCCAGCGGTGGGTGTAGAATTTAAGGACAGACTCATCCATCAGATCAGCACCATCCTATCACAAACAGTCACAGTTTATCTCCAGTTATTTTACGGAAGACACCAAGGCCTAGTTGATAGCAGACTAGACTGCGGGTTCATAGGTCCAAGTGTTTTCGGTTTGTCATTGCATAGTGTTCCCTGGAAAGGACTCTTATGTCAGATAAATACATGTATTCTATATTACTTTTCATGTATGCCCAAGTAAAAATAGTGTCAACAGTTACACTACATTAGGTCCAGGGAAGTTGGTACCTTCAAAACATACAACTTGTAACTGTCCAAGTACACATACAAGTCCATGTGGAGCAAAGTTAATAGTACCATAATAGTTGCATGAAGAAACTAAACACAGACAAATTCATTAGTGCTGACCACATATAGTACCACTTGAGTATACATTAGCCGAAAAATGCGAACAAAACACCCAAAAAATCTGTATAAGGAAGACACCGGTATCTGATAGTGTCCAGTGCAGTTTCATGCAACAAGCACAACTGAAAATAAGCTGAAAACATGTCCTAACCTTCTGCATGCCTATAAGATAAGTCCTAAGGAAGTCTTTGAGTCTTTTATACAATTCAAGGCCTACAAACTGGGCTCCTGTGAAGAAATAAAAACATTTGTTCAAACTTGGTTATATCTGGGACATAACTATAGTAAGTAAAAACACAACTATTTTGATTCACAGGACACCAGACAACATTGTTCAGAATCTCTTTTATCATAACTCCTGTTGTCAACATTGTTTGGAGATGAATTGGGGAGAGTCAATAACCTTAGAAAAAAAAAACTAGGTAATCCATAAAGCACTAAAAGATAAAGTACAGAGTACAGACAAATTGCATGTGTTTTCTTGGCAGTAACCAAACGACTTATGGCAAAATTGTAAACTGTTCTTATGCGAATTCTACTTCTCTATTCTTAGCAAAATGAATGTAGAGTTACTAGATCAATCTAACAGTCCAAAAGTAAGGACCCTGACTCCTCTCCTATTTGGTGCAGTGCTCCAAGCTGCAACCATTTTTAACGTCATGGTGAGTAGAAACAATTTTTGAGCCACAAATCAAGTCATAATATTGTTATTACTTCATATTTGCAGTCTATAGGTAATGGAGGAACATTTTCATAAGTGTTGTAATTGTTGTTGTAATTGTTGGATAGCCACCTTGGATAGCCACCTTGATACTCTCCAGTTTTCTATGAGTCTCTCCTGGTGGCTAACATTATCTTTCCATTTAAAGGGCACTTTGGCAAATTTCTGACCACAATAAATTTTGCAGAATTTGCAAAAAGTCTGGAGCCCCACTGACAGGTTTTTTTCCTGCTTCTTTCCCTGGATTGATACCTTTAGTGGTTTCTACTTTCAGGTAACCAAACATGTGCATGTGTCACACAAAGGTCCCCTGGGTATATAACAAGTGCATTTAGAGTATCTCATTCATGTATATGAGGACTAATATTAAAGCTTTCATGTAAAATAATATTACAAGATAAATTGAAATAATTTCCTTTAACTCCCAAGATATGATTGTTAATTCTCCCCTCTAGCTCCATGATTTCTTAGAATTGGTTGAAAAGATTTGGTTTTGGATCAAGATAACTTCTACCTGATAAGTTTCTCATTACCCGTTTGCTGGATTATGTAGAATATTACAAGGAGAAGTTACATGTTAATCACTTCTGGGAGTTAAAGGGTTATATGAAGATAAATGAATGACCTACCTCCCTGATTTGGTGCCTTCTTTTGCTTTGGAACTCTGGATTGTGACTGTTGATGAACACTGGTGCAGTGATTGTACACATGTCTGAAAACCTGTCAAGGAACTTAACAAACAACAAACACATACATCCACACATAAATTGGCTCAAAGGGTTACCACATTCAAAGGTTTTTTCTAAGTACCTTGAATTTTCCCCGAAGATTCTAAAATTCCCTAACCAACTGATGAGCAATTACATAGATGTGACAGTGAAAGGCATAACAGATACTAACAGAAAACCATTTGAACAGTAAAAACGCATAGATGATGAATGGTTGACGAATGGTCCTTGAAGCGTTTGTACCATTTGCCTAACCGTTCAAAGTGAATAAATTATTTAAATGGTTTGGTCAGCCGTTTGAATGGATGAGAAAAAATTTTGAACAGGCAAACCGTTTGAATGGGTGAATAAATTATTTCAACAATTTGATAAGCCATTCAAATGGTTTGCTTAGCTGCTCAAATGGATGAGTAAAACAGATAATGTCAAACAGACTGGCAAGCCATTCAAATGGATGAAAATATTATTAATCTGTATGATTGGTTTACTAATCAGACAGACATATAAATTGCTTAAACGGTTTGCAAAACCACTCTGAGCTCATGGCTTGATCATGGAACAGGCAATGTTGCTGTGTATTGTTTTCATTTCATTTGTCGTTATTGTCAATTTCAAGGCCTTTATTACCATTACAATGCCTTTCAATGCCCATTAATTGTATCAAAAAAATTAAAAAGAAACAATGAATAGAAAATAAAAGGAAATATAAACAACATTTCATTCATAAACCTACTTGAACTTGAGTAAAGATATACTGGTCAGGAATCTGTCAACTCTACTAAACAATGTACACAAGTAACATAGACATCATAGAAAGGAAAGTGTCACCATCTCTCATCAGAAAGAGGGCTTAAAGTCCAGATGAATAACCTCACTTTTCTCTGCCTTTTTTCAGAGATTCCCTGGCTCAAAGTGAAATTCCCTGACTTTTCCCTTGCCTTGAAGGAATTTGTTTTTCCCTGACTTTTTCCTGACCTGTGGCAACCATGAGCTCAAATAATCATACATCCCTTTTAAGGGGAAGCAATAGCACTGTGAAACAGAGGAGGTTCAGAAATTGTGGCTTCTGATATAGTGTAAAGTTATCTCATGATGAGGAATTTTTCAAGTGATGATTGCAATAGAAATGTTCCCTCTCTGGACATACCCTTGAAATGGAAATAACAAGTGAAAATACATCTTTCAGATTTGTAAACCAGGCTTAAAGCAAAATTATTTTTTATCCAGAGACTTTCAGTTTGATACTGAACACATCCTTGTGATGAACCACTGAATTGTTCACAGAGAACTATTTTAGAGTACCAGGGTTGTGAGGGCATGCTGCACTATGCAAATTAAACAAGAACAATACCAACAAACAAACAAACAAACAAACAAACAAATCAGCAAGTACAATTGAGTGAACCCTTTCAATGGCAAAATTTCCTATTTTTCTTTGTATGAGGAAACCATATCCCTGCATGTGAGCAATCAATGAAGTTTTACAGAAAAAGCACTTGAAATTGAATGGCACAGGTGAAGAGCACACATATTTTCAAAGCCCTATGACTTAGATTTTGATTCAATTTATAATCCACAAAGTGCCTTTAGACTCACGACCAAAGTCTTGAACAGCGATAAAATGGTTCTGTGGAGTTTTGGTAACACTGTTAAAAGGACCATAACAACTATATAAAAAATCACTTTGTTGATTACAGTAGTGCAATACCTAGTGTATACATCACCATGACATGATTCACAACCAGAAGGATACGTGTAAAGTTCCATGTAGCGTGGTTTAGACATACTTTGTTGCTTATAAACATGCTGTATTCCTTCTCTAAGGTCATCCCAGATTTCATCTAAAGTAATTTGACGTAATCCATGAGGATTTTGTGTCCTAGAAGCCATCGTGTTCATTATTGTAGCCTCAACGAACGCAAGCTATCGTAAGACGGGCTTCTTGGAAAAAAAATGCTTTCCTTGTGAGTCAGAGGAAAGCTTCGCAGCTCTCTTTACCAATAAAACTATCCTCCAAAAGATAACAGTGACAGTTAGAAACTTACAAGCTTCATCCCAAACGAGAAGAGTTCACAGTTTGACAACTCAGATGCATATACAGTCGCCAACCCAACTGAATGGTTGAAATAAATGCTTGTTTTATCGCGTAAACGGCGTCAATCAGGCACGGTTTCTTTAAGATATAAAATCCATTCCTTTATCTTGAGGTCTACTTGAAAAATACTCCGTGCCTGGACAAAGATATCATCTTTTTATGACTTTCTTTTTCGTACATAGCCGGAGGAACGTAAAAGTAATATGGCTGTGGGTCTGTGACGTCACAAAGCCAAGACCGAAATGCATGCTCACCCGCGCCTTTCAAATAAATTCCGTGTCACGCGGTTTACATACATACATACATACATTCTTTATTTGATAAGTAGGTTGTGTGAAAGGCAGCCAAAGGGCTGATGTGGACCTACTATACTAAATATTAGGAATTACATATATATAAAAATTGCAATAATAACTTAGAACTACTATATACAAATAAAATGGTGTTCACTAAGACTAACATATAAATCTAAAAGTAAATGAAATGGTCCTTTCTGTTGGCAACTACTGTTGCCTCTTTCTCAAATGAAAAATTGTCAATAGTCTTAACATGTTTACGTAAGATTTGTTTAAAAGAATAAAAACTTTCAGGTACTTTAACTAATCTATTTACAAAATTCCAAATAACAGGACCTCTGTATCGTAGGGAGTTCCTGCCGGTCTCTGATCTAAATCTAATGACATTAAATTGGTTAGGAACACGAGAAGATCTAGAAGAAACTCTTTTAGAAAACAGTTCACATATCGACTGGGTCGTTGTTCCAAAATATACTTTGTGCAAGAGGAACAGTACAGATTTTTTATAGAAGTAAGAGATGGGCAGCCAGTCGGATTTCATGAGACCTTAATCTGCAGCGGACAAAAGGAGGAGAAATTATTTTTTCTTTCCGTAAATTTCCCATAAATATAAGAAAATTATATCAGAATAGTAGATAAAATATGGCCGTGAATCTAGTTATTTAAGGATCTAATCCCTTGAATTTATCTATAAACTGGCCAGCTGGGACTGTAAGATCATTCTGAGTCCTCAGATAAATAACTTGCCTCCTTGGCTACTTCTATCATTTGTCAGTATGATTTGTTCATAACGAAACAAGCAGAAATAAAAAGTGAATTATTCACAAAAAATACAAACAAATAGGACCTAGCTAGAAATTTTTTTTAAGGCAACGAGAATCCTCAGATGGTAGAAAATGATAGTCTCCCCCTCCCTAAAGTGGGATCAGCGATCAGCTGGATGGAGTCGCATTTTCACGTCTAGATCGACCATTTTCAGTGGAGTTACTAGAATGGGGTCACGCATTTCCGGAATCTTGGGGGATAGGAAAATTCGAGCAAGTGGGGATTCAAAAACGGGAAGATTCTCCGTCAAAAAAGTTGAAGGCGTATTACCAAAAATGACCAAGATGGGGCCTATAATTGACCAAAGAATAGACCGTAATGGGGTGGGAGTTCTGAGAAAACAGCGGCACGTAAGAAGCAAAAATTGGCCAAGTACACCCCCCCCCCTGCAGTTCCGCCACCTTTGGTAGATCTAAAAAGTCTCAGCCATATTTCATAAGTATGCATCAACTCCTAAAACTATGTTTGGCTTTAGAAGCTTTCTTTTTAAATAACTGAGGTTATTGAACTCATCAGAAATGAACCTATATTTCCGCATGTCTACTGTTTGGTGATCATTAGGGACGAAATTCTGAGAATTTGTGCGGAGTAATGCCATAAAATGTAAAGTTCGTATTATTGTGGAGTGAAATTCTTGTTGTATTGTTTATTATGCAGTTTTCGATTATTTTGCTGATTATTATTTTTTTGGTTGACCTTGGGAACTAAAAACCTGTCCGTACACATGCTTGTCGTAGGTTCGATACAGGTGGGCATATTTGAGATTTTTCCAGAGCAGGCTAATAACAAACACTAAATATGATGGTATTTCGTGATTTTGCACGTTCCATATGTTGTATTAGAATTGCAAAAGATGGCATTAACAAATTGTAGTAGTCATGATCAGGCCAACAAAAATTGAGACTGTCACTAGGAACCAAATTGCAAAACATTGAAATAAAACTAGAAAATGGTATTCCTAATTGTTGCTGACTCTGATTCCATAATAAATTGAAGGAACAGAAGGATATCGCATATACTCTTTGTTTTCGCATATCTTTAACTTTTGCAGATGCGTATAGTTTATTTTCGTTTTTTAGTCATGGCTTTCGGAAATGGCGCAGGGTTGAATGATATTTTAGAATTCAGGGTTAATGGGTCAAAGTCCTTAAGGCAAAGCGTCACAAACTGGTTAAATTACGTTAATATTTTACCTTGTATTTCACTCAATTCTTATCATTGCGGGGGAGATTACCAGTTTTCTAATAATGCATTAGGCGGACGGCTAAATCCGGCAACAAAATGTGTCAACTAAAAACCGGAAAACAATATAAGAGTACCGTGAATTCTCATTCAGTTGGGGTTCAGTTGTTTCTCGGATCGTAGAAAATTGTCGTTGAGTATTAGTTTAACGGGGAAAAAAACAAACAAAAACGAAACAAGGATGGTTTGAATTAAATCAAAACGGATTAAAGTGAAAAACATCATTGACAAATGCGGAAAATTTGTGCTGAGTTCTCGAGATTTTTCTAGCTTTTTATTAAGAGGGCTCTGTAAGCTCAATTTGACAGTTTGAGATATTCCAGTTATTATTTTTTAACCTAGCATCAATTCAATTTGTTGTAGTTTCATTGTACAAGCTGTAAAAGGACACTTGATCTCTGTATTGCAGAAATGTTTGTCCCCTTCTAAGATTCGACAAAGATTCACCTCGCGATAACTTGACAATTAGACAGAGATTTATTGAACGCAAAACTCAGTTCAGTACAGTACGTACTAGTAGAATAGGACAGGATACTTCTGTCAATTTTTCTGCAATATTCATTGTATTTTTAACAAAAGCACCGGGACATTTCACTTCCTTAGCATCGACCTTTATTTACAGTGTAAAACTAAATCAGTGCAAAGTGAAATGCAGCAACTTTCTCCAATATGAACCGTTTTTCCAGCATGAGAAGTTTCGGAACTTAAAAATTAAGTGTAACAGATCATAAGACTACAAAACATTCGTCTGGAAAATAAAACGTGGCTTACATCTTCCTTGTCTAAATTAGACTACTTTGATGACAAAGTTACTCTTCGTTTCAGCTGGATCGATCCCCAATTAGCACTGGCGCGTGTTCAACTTCCCAATATTTACAATATGACGGGAAGTTTTTTGGTAAAGATTCTCATTTATTTTTATTCTCAATATTTTCATCATAGTCTTTCCGGAAAAGATCTTGATAATATAACTTCAATATAGTTTGCATTCGGTCCATCAATTTGAAAGGCATTAAATTTAGTTTGAATATCGTTACACCAAACTTGGAGAAAATTCCCGGCTTTCTTAAGCAAACTCTGGCCTATTCTCTCTCTTTTCAAACCCCTCTCTCTCACCCTGGGGCGAGAGAATGAGAGAACCTGGGAACGAATTTGGTTCTTGAGATTGAAGTCTGTGGTCAGGTCTTGCTGATAAGATTATTTTAGCAAAAATTATACAAATCAACTCCAGAAATTTGATTGAAATTTGGTTCGAATGTTCTTGATTGCTTTATTACTTTTAGTGAGAAGTTGACTGACGCAGGCAACAGCTCTACACAGCTGTGCCTTGTTTCAGGCAGAAACTTGCAGATTTGGGAGTGAGAAAAATTTCATGAATCAAGTGCATCATTTATTTTGATAGGAACTCATATGCATTAGTGTTTTAAGAGTTAAGCCCTCAACGTTGTTCATGTTGAGTAAGAAGGAATAGCCTTAATCCTTTACTCCCATGGGTGACCAAGACAGAATTTCACCTAAGAATATCAATACAATTTCTAACAGGCAGCTGAAAGAAATATATCAATTGGGGATTATTAGTTGATCCAAAACCAAAATCTCCAATCTAGCATCAAAAACATAACTAAGTAAATTAAAGAACAAGACAACTTTATATATTTTTTTGAATTTCATTTTGACTTAACTGAAGAAAGCTAAAACTGTCGCTTTTCTTACACGAAGTAGAAATAACGGGATGTAGCAGAGAGAAAGACGGAAATTGTAATAACCAGCAGATTTGCGATCGCTGTCGCTCCCTCACGATAGCTCTGATGTCACGTCAATCAGTAGATGAGCTGAAAAAGACAGCTGATGATGTAAATTTCCGCAAAAAGAGATTATTAAAGCGAAACCTGAAACCCACGCGACTCCCTCGGTGCAGGGTCAGTTTATCGTCTGACAGCACTGGAATACAGTTTACGTAAAGATCACAGTAGAAATTCCTCGTAAAACGTTACGTGCAAGAGAGTGAGTAATCGACAATCCCTCGAGTCAGGAATTTTCGGATATATTGACTTACAACGATAGTGAAACTCAAGTATCATATTAAGCTTTCTTCAGGATTTTAATCAACAAAAACACTTAATCTTGGTGTCGCTGTCCGCTCAGTAGAAATGTCTGGTGACTGCGGACTCATCCTTAAGTAAATTTTGAAGAAATTAACTAGTACCTAGGCTAGTGCCCGTCCAGTACTTGTTTCATCGTATGTGTTTGGTATTCTATTAATATCCTTTATCTTACAGTCGAAGCCGGCAGAACGATGTGTCGTCCAAGAGTTACTGCAGCCCTGCTCATGTTCATTCCTTGTTTGGTTTTCTCCGCGGAGATTCCGAATATCTTGCCGGGTGATGTTGCTCCTTCATTTGTTCTTCAAGCAAAGGAAGTAATTCATGGTACCGACGTACTTCTCAGATATGGAGGCAACGATTCCAACATCCAAGGACCCATTGTGTTCCTCGCGTATACCGACCGCTCAGGATTCTTAGATCGTCTTCTATCCGACCCAGATTGCTTCAAGACTCTGATGGAGAACTCCCCTGACAATACAAATTACGTGTTTCTTTTTTATGCGACTTCTTCATCTTCGGTCAAAGATGCTGCTGACCAGCTCGCTCGGAGATTTAAAGAAGCAATGTATAACTCCTTTTTTCGGTAAGTCTTATGTCCCTCAGAATTGCTTTTCATTCTCGCGTTAATTAACTACATTGAGATTGTTGTGACCCGAATGAGTTCCGAAATACAAAACAAGGCTTCTTCATGATAGCGATACTAGAATATTGTGACCCGAAAGAGTTCCGAAATACACGAGCAGGCCTCTTCACAACAGTGATACTAGCTAAGAAATTGCAACATCTTGGCCGACAAGGACCATTTTTACCTAAGGTGCAATATTTTGGAAAATTAACCCAAGTTTCGTGATCCGGAAGTCACGAATTTCACTTCCTTTCGCTAAACCCGAACGGAAATGTTTTTCGCTATGAACACAATGCTGAACGACACTGATACAATCGGAAAGAGGCGCTGAAATTGAGGTTCAGGCAATCTTGATTTTCCGTTTGTTGACTTCTTTACCTCGGAGGGTCCTGACTTTTTACAACAGTGAGATCAATCCCTATATACATGCCGGCCAAGAGTGAGGTTTATTGGATTAGTAACTCTGGGATGCACTCATGTATTCATTGAATATAGTGTTGGCCACCCTCATGAAATGAAATAAAAATCTGTCACTCTTCAATTCTATTTCATTAAGAGCACTACCATCTTGGGTCCGCGGCAGCTGTGAACCTTGCTCCGGGTAAAGGATTCTTAGAACACTTTTGGCAAAAAGCCACCAGCGTAGATTTGCTGTCCAAAGAAAACTGAAGCCCTTGATATATTAGTTAGTAACACAACACAAACAAAAGGAACTTGAAATAGCACGTCCCAAAAATTATCAAAGTTTACTGCTTACATTACAACTGTAAGAGCAGCTGAAACCATTTACTACAGTAATTAAAAATATACACGAAAAAATTACGCGCGTTTGATTAGCTGAAAACGAGTGCATTTTTCATGTAACACAAGTGCAACTTACAAATAGCGCGCGCGCTATTTATAAGTTGCACTTGTCGGAGTATTTTAAGGGGGATCATGTGGTTTTCAGGAGGAACAGATGTAGGATCAGCGGTAGGCAACAGAATATAAATGGGGGAAGATAGAAAATTGACTGCCTATTAACTGCTATTGAAGAAGGGGGGGGGGGCATATATATTGCATAATCTTATGAGGCGATCAGGTAAATTTCATCGTGACATAACCAAAGGAAACGTGTGAATCGGAATTTACAGGCTTCATTGCTGTTGCAGATCCAGCAGGTCCCTCGAATTCTCCCGGGTGAGGAGATTCCCTACCTTGACCGCGAGAATGGGAACATTATTGGATTTCAGTAACAACTGGCTTTCGCGGGTACATATTGCGACATTTCCTGTATTTACTCTCGGAAATTGGATCCCGCGGGTGCTATCTCAGTGGTATTGTTCCGGGCACGGGTGTGGCTTTGCCCAGATCGTCATTGAAAATGATAAAGGTACTGCCATACATTTAGAGAATTAGTTTAGACACAAGAAATCAACTGTCAGAGACGGACAATAGGGCAGTTTTCCTGAATGTAAGGATTCCATCAACTTAACTTTAGTCTCAGACGGAAACGGAAGTTTGTTTCTCCAGACTTCTGCACTTTAGATTCTTGCTTTAAAATAATAATACTAACACTCTTACTCTTAAAAGTCGTCTTTATCGACAAAACCAATCTCTAGGTCAGGCTTCATGCACACCTATAGGAAACATGCTTCGTTCTGCCGGAAACTGTCAGAAAGGGAAGGCAGTGCATCTTAAAACTAAGACCAAGAGCTTCTTTTTCTGTTCCCTCTTCGTAAATAATTATAAATACCATTAGCTTTACTTGATCTATTTTGAATTTTCACATTACGCATTTTGTACTAAAGTTGTGTCGAATACTATTAGGAAAGGACATTATCCTGTTTTGAGTACGGTCTTATTACCATTCTTTATTTAAATATCAATGCTAATAACTTGTACTTTTTGACTTTAATGAAGGTGAAATCCACATGGTGTCAAAGCGTTTAGATGCACGCTATGATTGGCTGCCGTCTCCAGACACGCTCGCAAAATACGGACATTTGCAAGTGGCATTTGTTGGAGATGCCTGCAATGCCAGCTCGTTTGTGAATCCTGTAAATGGTAAACTTGCCCTCGTTTCAATGGAGGGCGTCCAATGTTCATACTTTACAAAGGTTAGTTACTGTTTTTTCTTCAATTTCTCGAAAGCCTTGCCTGATAAACGTTTGTCATGCTATGAGACTATTATCTAGAAAGATGTCACTCATCTGAACGCGATCGTGGAACAAAAAAAAAAGCGCCACCGAGAAATTTAAGCGTTCGACCTTCCAATTTTGCTTCGGATGCTTTACAAACTGTGAGCAAAGCCTTACTGTCTGTCACTTTACCCCCCAGGTACAAAACTCTGAGAAAAATGGCGCTCTTGGTGTCCTGGTGTTTCCTGAACCGAACCAGGCTTTGCTAGACATGAACTGTAACGGCTCAGAATGTAACACACAGCTCAACATCCCAGCATCCATGATTCCACATAGCATTGGGTTTAATTTGAGCAAGGGCAGTGGTATTTATGTCCGTTTCCAGACAACGCCCTCAGACACATTTGTATTTGGAATTGATGGGGAGGGCAAAGTGGAGGAAACCGGTTGGTTTTTGTATCCGTCCACCCTCTTCATGGCCTATCAGGCCCAGTGGTGAGTTTACTTTAAACTCAGTTTCTGGAATACTGTACTTTTGTTGTTTGAGTTGTTAGTCGATGGAAGCATTTACAGAACACAGGGCCATTAAGGTCGGCACTTTGTCGGCATGCTGTGAAGAACGAGGCAGAACACAAAAGGATCAGTATTATGAATCGGTGAGGGGTAAATAAGCGGCCCAACATTCTGTAGTTTTACTGGTCGCTGTATCTCTTTGTATCACTTCCACGAAGGACATCGGATCACGTAATACGTATATGTAGTGACGACAGAACGCTGTTTACATCTGTACATTTGGAGAGATTGGAGGGTTTATAGTTATCCTCATACATCAGTGTCTCCGCCTCAATCCTGGTTGGCCACGAGTTTATTCTCGCTGGCATTGCTTTCGTTTTGTAATACATACCTGCAACAATGTTTGTCTTATTCCCCCTAGCCTCAGAGCCATGTTAGAATTTCAATATATCGAAAATGGCCTATGACAACACTGTTTTCCATTGGGACAAATAACATATTGGTTGTTGTTGTTATTGTTTTTTGTTTTTTTTAGTGTAGTTCCGTTTACGTTATCATTCTCTCCAACAGTAATGGGAACTGACCTCCCACCTCGGTCGAGAGCGGAGACATTGTATTGAAGTTCAGTTTTTAGTAGACCAGTGTTTTAGAGAAAAAACCCTAACATGTCATTACCTTTGTTAACACAGGTTTAATTATAAAACGCAGTTGTTGAAGAACTTGACAACGGGAGATGCGATGGTAATCAACGTGTTCAACCACAGTGTGATGCAGGGAGAGAAAGGGGTTAGCGGTACTGTTCATCTGCCTTCTTTGAATGGTAAGATACAGGTATTACGATGCATTCGATTCCCTTCATTGTCCAGACAAAGGTGATACTTCCCTGAATGCCGGTAAGACGATGTGGAAAACCAATCTGCGCATAGGAAATAGCGAAATATCTCTGAAATTTCGTGAAAAATTTGATTGTGTTTAAGGACGAGATTTTAGCACAAACATTGTGTTCCTAAAATTTGTTGAAATAAGGTATTCACGTGTTTCTCTTTGTTCTGTGTTCTTACTGTCTAGTAAGCTTTGAATTTGTCAGAAATTATTGTGGCAACAAATTGCCAATAACCATTATTTGCCACGCTAAGATCAAGCCCAAAACAACTTTTCTTCAGTAGTTTGGTTTGAGATCTAAATTGTTTGATATCTCTATTTAAGTTCATTGTGAATGCGGTTTGGTTTTGTGGCAATCACAGCTGACGTTTTCACTTCTCTTTCTAAGACCTCCAGAGATACGAACACGTGGAATTGGACTTTGCTTTATCGTGCCCAGGCTCCAGAGACGAAACTTGCGCCAGATGGGATCACGTAATACAGCTGTACGTTTGCTGTAACTCTACAAGTGAGCTATGTGGCCTGGAACTAGGCAGATGGATAACACCCTTTAGAAGGTAGGAGTAGAAACCAGAGACAAGCACATTTGTTACTTTTTTTGTTGATGTCATGATAGATGACGTCTCGAAGGATGCCAGGAAAATGCTTGTTATCAAGTCAATCAGCACACTTTTGAAATAGCCGAGAAGATGGTTAAAAACATTACAACTTTGATGATCATTGTCTGTTTGTTTCCACACAGACGTATTGGACGCTGGTTAACGCCAGTGAAGCCGCTGATTCCTCTGCTACAATCCGCGGACTCCGGCTCAACCAACACTTGTAACTTTACAATGAAAACAGTTCCCTGGGCAATGGCGTGGGTTCCAACACTCAACATCAGACTTGTTGGCAAAATACAAGGTATTACCCTGACTCAGCTCTACGCAATGAAAACTTTCTTTCCATCAGTTTCACGGGGTGCTTATTAACTATAATAATACCTTTTTGTATCCTTTTTAATTTTAAACTGAAGAAGATTACTGAACTTTGGTTTTTCTGTACGTTACTGCCTAACATTTTTACTCACATGTTCATTTTTATTCACAGTATTAAACAAGTATGAGACATTTCGCTCGAGGGAGAAGACTCTTGTTCCAGTAGAGGTTATACCACTCTTCAGGGGAGGAACATTTGACAAGAACTACAACACCAAATACAGACCCTTTACTTTTGCTCCTCCACAAGGAACTGACAAAGTAAAGCTTGTCGCAACCATAACAGGCCATGGCAGTGATAATAACAACTGCGCCGAGTTCTGCGTCACATCGCATCATTTTGTTGTCAACAACAAACATAACTATACCCGTGTGTTCAAAAACGCCGGCACCGCCCTAGGGTGTGCTGACCGCGTGCCAGAGGGAGTGGTACCAAACGAGCATGGCACGTGGCTGTATGGGCGGGACGGTTGGTGTGATGGCCAGGAGGTAGTACCCTGGGTTGTGGATATAACAAGTGCACTTACAACTCCTGAAAATCAGATCAAGTACTTTGGTTGGTTTAACAATACTGATCCCAATCCAACACGTGACCCTGGTGATATCATCATGTACTCTTATTTAGTGTACTACAAGTACTTAGCCCCGGAGCCGGACCTCCCTCGGCCAACCACACGAGTAGGATCTGGATACGACATAAATAAATAGTTTGACCTTTGAATGACATTCGAGCCGCATACTCTGATACATGTTACGGCTGGTAATATTTTCACTCGTAAAAAAATGCGAAATAAAAATTTCAAAAGAAGGCGGGGACCGGCAGCCCCTCAGCTCCGAAGATTGTTCTATTCTGATCCATTTTCCCGGCAATTTGGCTATTAATATACATGGCTGTAGAGGACGAATAGCCTTGCAGCGAAGCGACAAGGGCCGAGAGAAGTGTTTGCATAGCCTTCTGAAAAATTCTTTGTTCTCATTGGCTAAATCGAGCGTATTCAAGGCCGGAATATTTGCGTGTAGATGACTTCTCTCCTCCTTTATGGAAATATTAGGGTCTTTTCGCAAACCACGACGACGACGGTAACGAGGACCTTGTAAAACAAAATATCTAATGATCAAAACAATAGCTCAGCATGTGCATTTCAATCCTCTGCAAAACAACTACGTGAAATCACCAAAATTTGCGTAGCCTGAGAGCGGAAACCCGAGGGTAAATTAGTCTCCATTTTGAACTCAACGCCGCTCACATTTGTTATGCTGAATTAAAGATGTAGCGCTGTAAGAGACGGTAAACACGTCCAACCATTTGCAAAATTCTGACTTAAAATTTAACATTATTTTTTTCTTTTGATGTCTACCTCAGCGTTGCCGTCCTGACTGCTTAATATCCCTAATGTTATTGTCCCACGTTTGGTAAATAAGAACCATAATGAACTCAAAATGTGCCATATTCCTATGTCTATTTCACTAATTTCGTCCACAATTTTTGTACCTTGGTGAACATTGAAGAAAGCAGTGTTTCCTTGCCAGCTTTACTGTTAATTATAATGGTTGCAAAATCTGTTTCGGTTTGAAATAAGTGATTTCACAAAATACAGACCGAATTAGACCACACTAAGTCTTGTCACCAGTTATTTTTGACCGATGAATATTCTGAGTGGAACAGACATATGTATTAAAAGAACAGCTCGTAATTCCAATTTCTCTAATCCAGTTAAGACATTTTCTGACGCTGAGAATTCCTCCATTTCAGAAAAATTTATCATGGTAAGTTGTTGTTGCTTTGGTTACTGTAATGAATGCATGATTGGTGACTTTGCATTCGAGTTTGCATAAATGATTGGCTATGCAACTGATAAGATACAGCAAACTGTCTATCTAAACTTCCGATGAGACTCTTCGTTAACAACTCTATAGAATAATAAGTGAAAAATAAAGCAATTCATCATCTGCATGTTAAAGAAAACAATAACGGCTATATTAAAAGAGTAATAATTTAACTAGTACTTTAGTTGTATTTCTAGTGAACTATGGCAAAGGCAAACTCCTACACTCAGACCAATTGCACGTTAAATACTATCGTAGACCTCAAGTGACCGCTCCATCCTTTTTGTGATAAAAGTTTATTGGATTTTTCTAAAGACTTCCTTGCAAAAATGGAAAAAACTCTTGCGCATGATTTTACACTTTGAAAGAGGACTCTTCAAAGAAACTTCTTCAGCTCCACCGTACATTTAGTAGGGTATGTTGCCAGTTAGATATTTGTGCTAGTAAACTACACTGTGTGTTTCACGAAAAGTGTTTTTTTAACTTTACTGATTTACTCTCCATCATCCTCAGGAATAACGTCACTTTCTTGTTTTAAAGGATCATCTCTGTTGATTCTGGCCAGCTCGCTCTGCGCTACATTACTCAAAACCGCAGGTGAGGATTGAAATCTCGCGCGGCGTGCGATCTTTTCATTACCGTCAGGCTTTTCAATCTTTGGCAAAGCTAAACTCTTCCGGTGCTTCAATGGAGGAGGAAATTCCTTACTCCTTTCCTGTCTGTATGGCAAAGGCCATACGACAAGGCCTTGGTCAGTGCTTTCTAACGGCGGCAAACGTTTTAATTCAAGGAAACTCATGGGTGACCTTGAAGCTGCACCTTCAGATTGTCGTCGTTGATACAACTTGTAATCTCGCTTTGTTGCGTTTGCAAGCATGTCTCCTTTATCAGCGACATGTGTTTGAACTGCAGTTTTAACACTTAGCCTTGTTTCCGTTGTGTTTTTACCGGGATCGATGGCTTTAAGTTCTCGTCGCAGCGAGACAAGATTTCGCTGAATATTTTTCATTTCTCGTTGCTCTTCTTTCGCCAAGTTTCCCAGCCGGCGTCCGAGTCGTTCTTTCTCTCGTTCGTTCTTTAGTTTGGCCTCGACAACATTTTTTATTATTTTACGGCGCAAAGCTTGTGCTTTTTCGTCGTTCTCCTCATCTTCAGCGACAATCATGGCTTAAAATTTTTTACGATGCAATAAATTTAAAACTACTGAGTCGGCAAGCAATACTTGGTGCCGTGACCGCACATCACTTCAGTTTGTATTGCTTCATTCTTAAAACGTAACAACAGAAACTTCTAAAAGCGTAAATCATTCATCATGTTTTTGAGAGTAAATTAATAATTAATTTGTTTCCCCTGGCGAAGTTTTGTTTAATCAACAATGTTTCAGAAACACAATTATCAGCGGGTTTGTTATCGACAAAACACTTTAGAAAGCGTTTTCACAAGTGCCTCATCTAAATGAGAAAGCAATCGGTACCTGCCCGTTTTCCTCACTGTCATACAACAACATTGCCAGTCGGATACAGATTGATAGAAAGTTCTTAAACAGGAGCGAATTTCACAGCAAATACGATCGGCAGGTGTTTCGCAGTTTTCACAATACAATCTGTTTAGCCAATGAGACTTTTTCACACGTTCAAAGGCTGTTTTTGTTTTAATTAAATAGACCATCTTCAGCTACCGGGCCGAGAACTTAGGCGAAGCTAATTGGATCTAAAACCAAACTCGTACAAAAATTTACTTTCATGTTTTGACTCGTCTCGTTCGAGTTCTATATTCTTTATCTGAACTGCAAAAGAACGATATTTTATTCAGATAAAAAATGGCATACCTTGATGTTAATTACGACCTTCTTCGTTTCAAATTTGGATGTCTTTCTTTTAAGGAGGCTTTTCAATAAGAGAGTCTCAATGGGATGATTGCTCTTACGGTTAACGGTTAAAATTTTGGCCCTCTTACAGCTAACGGTTATTCATTTCCGTTAATTTTTGAAGAGGAATTATAACGGTTAATTTTTTTTTTACTAATAAAAGTTAAATTGTCAAGTTTTTACGCCCAACGGCTAGAATTTTGAGCCGTTTCACGGCTGACGGTTAAACCTATTGAGACCCTCCGGTAAGCCTCGATTCACGTAGCACGTACAGACTCAGTTTTCATGGCCCACATCCAATAGGGGAGGGGGACTAGGAATGACTTACAGGCTTTCCATCCAGGACTTCCAAACGGAGTGGGGTATATTTGATAGCGGTTATGTTAGAAGGCATATGAAAACCTGGCTGAGATCCAGAATATGATTCGTTATGTGTCCACTGTATAGTAGCTCATATAAAATGAACACCGCACACATTATGAGTTTCCTTAGTTGAAGACCTACAATTTTAAACAGGAAACTACTTGATATAGGCTTCCAATTATGGTTAAAATTTGTACTGAAACTCTATCTGGCTCATATGAATAGCAACGCCTTTAGAACTCTGAGAGTAAGGGGGGGGAGGGGTTTTAGCAAGGAAGGAGAGAGGGAGAGAACGTTTACAGTTGATATCAGGGGCGAATCATCTCTTTAAATTTTTCTGTTAAACGCTGTTCTGCTATTCTGAACAAGTCACTTCTGAAGGTATTGCAAAGTATGTAAACACCTGCGCTTCGCAGTTCGTAAGATTTGACCTCATTTTGTTTCATGTTCGTCATTTAAAATCTACAGCAATATTCTGCATTATAAACCCTCCTTACGCTCTTTTGTGTTAGCCTTGTCTCTTTAATGATTCTCTACCTTTCGCTTATTTTCAATGCAAATAAAATCATCAAAATGACCCTAAAGTTTACGACGTAGATCCTCCGTTTTGAAACGAAAAATTGAGAAATCAAGGACATGACGATTTGGAGAATGCAAATTACTTTACGTGTAATTGGACAATTGGACTAAGGAGATAAATTACCCGTTAGATGTTTCGTAAGTGGGCATTGAGACGTGGGGAAGGGGGGGGAGGAGGAAAGGGACTCGAAAGCGAAAACACAGCTTAGGGGAGAGCTCTTGCGTTCTACACTATTATTCGCGCGCTTGCTTTATAATATGGAAAAAAAGGAGAGGGAGAGACAGAGTGGGTGTGTGTCAACCAATCTTTTTGTTCTCATCAGCACTCTCTGTAGAACGCATTCCTGAGGTAAAAAGGACTAGATTTTCAACAAATACAATGTATTGATTTCGTTATCTGCTTCTTATGTTGAGTTATTTTCAGCAAGACTGATTTCAACTGTATCATGTTGTTAAAAACAGACATCAGTGGATGACCATTATTATAAGCTACCCGGCGACTACAATACAGTTTGGGTCGAACCCAAATAGGAATCTTTCGCTTCAGACGTCCCTTGTAGATCCATCATCTCATGTTGACAACGCTGACCCAGACCCAGTCCTAATGATTACATCTAAAAACAATAACTCCAGCGAAAATCTCAGCCACTTGGTTCATAAAAATTTACGATCGTTACACAATGTGTACATCTACAGGTTATCATCACACAATAATGACTACATTTAGTAAAACTATGATCTTAGATCAGCTATTTGGCCTTCCATCGCTTTAAGGCTTTGTAACATGTTCTGCAAGTAATTTAGCGTTAACAATTGAGTTGAAAACGTAAATTGGCCACCGTAAAGAGTAAAAAAAATGACGTTTCGAGCGTTAGCCCTTCGTCAATCGCTCTGACGAAGGGCTAACGCTCGAAACGTCAACTTTTTTACCCTCTGCGGTGGCTAATTTACGTTTTCAACTCAGTTGTTAACACTAAATTACCTGCTATACTCTCCCACCGACGCAGCATCAGAGTTTCTTTAGAAACTTACCCCCTTTATTCAACATGTTCTGCAGTCTCTTTCATGGGAAGAACCAGCAAAAAAAAATCTCAAATCTTGCACTCAGCCCATTGTGAACGGTAAATGATATGTTTTAGACTGTACCCTCAGCTGTGCTAACTGTTATATGATAAATGCACTGTGAGCAAAGAAAAGTCTTCAAACGATATGTGCGGGAGATATGTTCAACTACATGGCACAAAAACCTTTGTGCAAGATGTTCGTTTTACAAACTGTAGAGTTGGCAAAATTATGGAAAAATTATGGCAAAACTGATTCCTCAAGGCGAACCAAATGAACGTAAAAAAATATTGAGATTTGCCAACATAAATTGAAATCAAAATTATTTTTCAAGAAGTTACCGACCAAAATGTGCGAATACCAATTTTCCATTAGCTTCTCTGAAAGACCAATCGAGCAAACGAACAAACTATTTATTTACAGTAATTTCAAATCATCAAAATAGTCTAAAGTGCATATAATACCCCATTCACACCAAAGCTTAGACATGTACACGGTTCAAAATTGTATTCTACAAAGAAGCTGTTTAGACTGATGTTTGTCGACTTCAAATTTAGCACATTGAAAATACAGTTAAGTGACTATTTGAAACCTATGGAAAACTCAGTTTTTCAGTTCTCTGTTTTTCATTCGGTTAAACCCGGTTTAAGTAAACGAGTTTTGCTGGTGTGAATGGGATGTAAGTTTGTTGGTACAGTTTCCGCCATCCTAATCTATTCATATACACAGAAAGTTTCGGAAGTGAGGTTAGTTTGGAGACACGAGTCGTAAAAAAAACAGCCAAATTTGAGAAATACATGGATTACCTAGTTTCACATGTCATAACTAATTAGTAAATCTGAGCAAATAAATCTATGGTTTGGGAAACATCGTAAAAGTTAAAGAAAGATATTATTATTCTTGTCACGAGTGTGGTACGAAGAAAAAAAAATCTGAGTTTGCAATGAGAAATCAAACCCATGACCTTTTTGTTCCGCGCTCCGATGCTCTACCTCTGAGCCAAACTCAATGGTAAGCCAGGTGATTACAAAGTTCATGCGAAAGCGTCATTTTTCCCTTTTCCACACATGTTCCACGACTTAACTCAAAAATTTACAGTAAAAAATTACAGTACTGACATCTGTTGGTTGATTGATCTCAGTTTTATAAAGGAGCAGTTTTACAATTGATGTCGAAAAACCAAAACTGAAGTAATCCCAGCGACTATCGATTACATCATCACAAGCCAATGAAAAGTCAAAGTGAAAGCAGCAAACTGCTTGAAGCGTAGTTTGTAGTTTTGGATCTGATTGGTTGAGAGGACCGCGCGAGTTTTCTTGGCCAATCACAGAGCAAAGTTAAGTAAAACCAAAAAATCCAGGATTTCTTTCGACACCCAATTGAAAACTGCTCCAATTGGGCATTTGTGAGATACCATGAGATACCATGAGAAAACTGCCATGGGGAAGAAAATAACAGCTGCTAAAGAGTAAAAATTCATTCGGTCAACTTAACATCACAATGAAAAAAAAATCAATTAATTAATCAAATTAATTCACAGCACATCGACCCCATTAGTTGCACCATTGTGTATTACCGCTGTACAGCATGCACGAAGTTGTAATTGTACAGCACCGGCAAGGACTTCTCTCATGTTGCTGGTGCTCAAGCCCCAAAAAGGGTTCTCGGTAAGTTCGAGGAGGTGGATTGGGGAAGACAAGCAGTGGTGATGGCGACATGACAGGCTCCGGGTGGTTGCCATTTGCCATCTTGAGTTCTTTGCGCCATTTAAACCGTCTGTTCTTGAACCAGGTCTGAAGGGATCCGGGAAAAAAAATTGAGTGAAAAGAAGATATTATCCAGCGATTTGAAAGAGCTGACGAAGGTTACTTAGAGGCAGTAGGTATGATCTTCAAACTGAGTAGGCCACAGAAAATGGATGTTTTTAAAAGTCACCTTGCCTTACATTCTAATCAACTAACTCAGATTTTACCTAAGGCAAATTGAAGAATGTATGGGAGTCTATTTACCTGTACAGTAACGGGAGAAAGTCCAAGTTTGAAAGCCAAGTTATCACGCTCTACACCCGTCAAATACAAAGATGAAAGGAAAGAATTCTCAAGGGCAACTTTCTGATAGATTGAGAATCGTGTCCGTTCAATCTTTCGCTTGTGAGCATTGGCAGTAGGCACAGGGTCATCAGAACTCTTTTGGAAATCTCCTGAAATTAGATAACATTAAGCGACTGTTAGCTTTAATTCTCCAGATTTAAATGATTTAACCTGCTCTATCGGCTTCTGAGTTACGAGATGTTTATCTTCCTAATCGAAGGAGAAAGAGACGAACCATTGTGTTTCATTTCAACCCCTAATTTTTATCAACGCATGTTTGTCTCGTATCCTTCTGATTGATCATTCAAAGACACCAAACTATTTCTTGTTAAATAAAAAGGACTTTGCGTTGAAGGAATCTAGTCGATTATTTGATATAAACCATCCACCTGGCCGTAGTGAGACAGAGGTAGCCGTCTTCTGTCTCGTATCCTTCTCATTTACCATTGAAAAACAAGCAATTGCATGTTTTCAAAGGGTAATTTTGCGTCCACAAAATTGAGAAACCTATTCGGCAATAACGAGATAATGGTGGCCGTATTTTTTTTCCTCACAACAAATAGGGAAACAGAGCGAGCGAGTAAGCCTTAAGCAGAGCTCTTATTATTGAGTAACTCCCTTTCAACTCGTTGGGCGGCTTTCTTGTTTCATATGAATAAGTTTTTTGAGTTGATCTTCCTTGCATGCGAAAAACATCCCCGCCGTGAAAATTAAAGTCAATATACTTCTAAGTTTAAGGCCACTGTTAAAAAAATGATCTAAGCCAGTCAAACTTATCCTAACGAACGTTTCTGTATCAAGATATCGCCTTGTTTTTTTCCTTTGCTGAGGAAAATCGCGGTCTAACCAATTTATTGTGTAATCAAAGAGCATCACGACTAGTCAAAATCTTCACCTCACGTACCTTCTAGTGGAAATGTACTCGACGCACTTTCAGACATCGGTTTTTTATCACAGGAAGAAAGCGATTTTTGGGCGAAGAAACGGTGCATGTCGAACTGTTTAGTCTCCATGGCTCTTGTGTTCTGGCCTTACCAACACCTCCGCCAAATCTGATGATGGTTGTGTTCGCTCTAATATAAACTAGAAAGGGATATCGTCTCCCATTCGCTGGGCGGGTCACTGACGTCACAAATTTGAGAATGTTTATATTTTCAGGTTCAGTCTTCTGCTAATTACGTTATAAATTAACCGACCAATCACGTGCTATCGCTTTATTGAACGTGTTCTCTAAACTCCCAAAGGAATAATGTTGAACGTAACAAGAAAGAAAGAATTACTAAGGGTCAACGCACGAAACGTCAGCTTTAAAACTCAATTTACGTTATCAACTCAGTTCATCATACTTAATTACCCTATTTTACTATCCCACCGACGCAGCACCACAGTTTCTTTAGAAATTTACCCCCTCTAACATGAAAGAGAGCCGACACTTGAATGCCCTGTTTTCAACATCGATGCTCTCTGGTTATTCGTCACTTTCGAAAATATAAATCCTCTGGGAAGTAGGATGGGAATGTGATTAGATGGATAATCTCCCCCTTAAAAATAAACTGTAGTTATCAACCCTTCGGGATTTTCATTTTCAATCGATATGTTGCTGTTAATCGAAGTGCCACCTGCAAACTCGTGAATTTCCTGTGCATGTTATGATAGGAATATAACAAAAAATGTACTAGAACTCGACGATTTTGTGATTCCGAGGAAAAGAATTGAGCCGTCATCCCCACAAGAGCCCTTTCCTTTATTATTCCGCCATCTTTATTTTGATGCATGCTCTCCCCAAATTCCCGTGCGAACGCCTTGACGAAGTCCAATATTTCTTATGCATAAGCTTAGCAAATCCACGACTAAAGACGAAACACATTTGTGCGCAATTTAAGAACTTTCTTCATCACAAATGCGTTGCTGCAAAGAAGCGTATACCTGTAGCCGTAAAGACAACTTTGTGTGATCCACGGTATTGACGTACGCAAGGAACAAAAGTGGACTTTAATGTGACCTACTGTGCTGCCAGCGTCATAAGTTAGCGACCTTCTGCTTTCTTTTCTTCTCAGATCGATAGACTCTATTTTCAAACAATTGTAACCTCAAGATCATTTCCAATATATTAACTACTTACAAAACGAACTGCGGCTCGAGCAAGCGAGGTCAGTAAGTTGTCTATCACACGGCACTCATACAAAACTTGTTCAGTTTGAATTTGCCAGCTTTCTGACCTTCTCCGTGAAAACCATCCGTATGGCAGGATACGGACCAAGTGGGAACCAATCAGAATGCTCGGATTTACCTCAGGACTACCCTGCCATTTAATATTACTGTACTCTTCCGCCTATAAATTCCATGAAACTGTGTAGCTTTTTTGCGTAATGTTACTGATTCTCGGATTAGAAGATTTTGCCATGTTTAATTACACATGATACAAAATGTTTTTTTCTTAATTTTGTAGCTTAACCAAACTCTAAAACTGTGAATGAATTTTTTTCAGTAAGGAAAAGATTACAACTTTGAAGGTGGAATACTATCATCTTTCCAAGTGTATTCTGGCAGAGAGCACTCATCTGCAACAAAAACAACAAAAAGTATGTGGGTAATCCCTCCAATAACCCTCCCCCACCCCGATCCCGAAGATAAATTGGGAAAAAGAAAGGGGTGTGGCTATTGCATTGAATTGAGGGTGGAGGTTTAATGTTACTAAATTTTGCCCAGTACATTACATCTTTCTTTTGACAGCAGCACCACAAGAGTATCCGCGAAGGAAAATTTTTTTGCATTGTTCTACTGACAATCATAATGATTGATTTAGGACTTGTAACAGGAGCTAAAAGATTGAAAAAATTCCATAACCATGTGGAAATCTCTTAACAAGTTTAAAGGTCTGTAAATTTGAACAGCTGCATCAACTATAATCAACAGTTGTTGTTTTGATATTTGCCCAGTATTTTTAAACGGACAAACAAATAAACAAAACAAGAAAAAGCAGAAAGACAAAGGACTGGACAGGAGGAGTGTATCAATACTCGGGGGGGGGGGAGAAACTTGTTTTTTCTACGGCAGATCTGTCAGTATGACCCATAGATAATGTACCACAGCACAGTACATTACGGTACTACTACTAACTACTACTACCTTGAATAGGTGCCTGGGTGCTTATTTAAAATTTTGGCTAAAAGGGAGGGTGCTTAATTAATATTATCCAGCAATGATTCCTCCATATAAAAAGTTTGAAAAGTTATAAATAAAGTGGTAATAGAAACAGGTTTCCTTGTATCCCTACTAATTAAGAAAGTGAGAAGGGGCCACTTATTTGAGGGGAGTGCTCATATGACATTATGGTCTAGGCCCAGGGTGTGGGCACCTATTAGGGGGAAGGCTCTTATCTGAGAGTGGATGCTTATTCAAGGAAATAGGGCTCATGAAACCATTCCATTGAGCAATTGCCTCACCTGCTGTTGGTATGTTACTAACAAACACTTTACTTGATGCACCATCCACGTCAATTGTAGTTCCTGTTATGTAAGCTGCTGCTGGGGAGAGGAGAAAGCTGACAGCTCCAGCTACCTAAATAACAACAGAGAGTTCTGCTCATATGCATGATGTAGCCATATACAGTAAGACTTTAACCATGTTTTATTTAGCAAAGATACATAGCATCTCAAGCTACACTCTGAGCCCTTATCACTAAGATTGAAATAAATCAGATAATCTTTCTAATTATATCCCCATGATGCTTTTGACATTGCTTGTCCTAAATGTATGCAGGAGTGGGGTCACATATCAACCTAGTAATGGCCTTTAGCTCACTATGTAGTCTCTGTGGATTGTGGGAGAGCATTGCAACTTGGAATCCAGAAGTCTAAGGCTCGATTCTGGACTCAAAATTTTTTATTTGTCCCATGCTTGTGACAAAATAAAGTTGAACCTGTACTGAGTGGCATTATATTAAGTGGTCACCCTGTATTAAGCAATTGGTTGTCAAAGTTCCAAATTTTTTTCCCCTCTATTCAGCAGTCACCTCTATGAGTAACTCTGTGTGAGTTCTTTTTCAGAGGGATAACTGCCCAAAACCAATTAGAAGGGAAAAAAGGGTACCATTGCTCTTACTTCTGCTGTGGTTCCACATCTTTTGGCTGGTAACATATTGGCCATCCTTTGAAACAGCTCAGGGTCAGGGTAGTTCTGTGCAGCAGTGTCAGAGTACACCACACCCTAGAGAAATAAAATGCTAATTTATGCTGTGAATACATGTACCTCTTGCCAGTACAGTGTATCTCTTGTGCATCCTTTTGTTCACCATACCAACAGTAAACACAATTAGCAAGTAAAAACACCAGGATATAGCATAATTTTGGAGAGTGGATAGGTCATTCTTAACAGGATCAGCACTCTTTCATGAACGTTTGTATCCTAAGTCTTACTCCCCATTACCACTATTTTGTCAGATTGACAGAGATCAAACTGAACATAACACATTTACCCTTTGATGAACAGTCCAAAAATAATACAGAATTGTCACTATGATAAGCTGCAACCCTGCTGATTGCAAAGGGAAAGCTAAGTGCTCTTTATTTTTGATATTGTTTTCAAAGTGACATGAGCTTGACTGCATGTATAAAAATGTTTGTTCTGTAGGTAAGGCAGATCAATACTAACATACTGGTGCCACACAGTTGATCCTAACTCCAAAACGTATCCATTCAACAGCTAGGCTCATGGTCAAGTTGTGAACTCCTGCTCGAGCTGCACCACTATGTCTAAATTAAATATAGTAATGACAATACAGAAAAGCGAGTCAGTAGACTGACCTCTCTTCTTTGACACAAAAAGTTGCTTTTTTTTAAGTGCTTTGTTTTTGTAAATCAATTCTTATCAATTCTCGATTGTAAAAAGTGCAACTTATGTGTAAATTTGCTGAAATACAGCTATTTGAAATTACTAAAGAAACATTATTTTAACCTCAGCAGAGTCAAAATTTTACACAGACAGACAAGCACTGTTCATACAGGAAGAAAACAAAAAAATTACAACTTACGCCAGTCCTGGGAAACCCTTGCTCATGTCCACAATGATGTTTACAATTGAACCACCATTTTTGCACATCCACAATCTGAATGCTAAACACAGACACATTCTCAGTTATTTCATAACAACTACACAGTTAACATAGAGCACTTGTTGCAAATTTGACTCATACTGAGGAAAGGCAAAGTCCTATACAAGAAAAGGTGCAATTATTTCTAGATGAATTGTGATCCTTTCCTAACATTTAAGGTCATCATAGTAATACCATAGCCTCCTAGAACATCCCTACTTTCAGCTCTACCCATCTCTGTTTCAATAATAATTGTTCTATGCTAAAGGAATTTCTTATTAGGCTTTTCGATGGTTAGGCTTCAAACTTATTTTTATAGAACTCTCTGTGGCTTCAATGGTTCATTGAAGACAGTGTTTACCTTCTTTACAGCACAGAAATGTCCCATTCAAGTTCGTGTCAACCACAGCTTTCCAACCCTTCAAAGACATGTTTGCCACAGGTGACATAAACTGACCACCCCCATTGTTGACAAGGAAGTCGATTTTACCATAGGAAGAGAGGGTTTCCTCCATCAAGTTTGTTACCTAAAATATTAGAGTTTACATTTGTTTTGAATATTGTCAAAGACAGTATACACTAGCATGTAAACCACAATCAAAGATAAGTCAAACCCTGAGTTTGTAAACTCACATTTTGGAAAAAGAGTTTTTGAAAAGAACTCTAAAGAATGGCAAAATGAATCTTGAGAAAGTTGCCTCACATTGGTTGCTTAATCAAACTTACACCCACGTAACCTCAGTTACAAATAAAACAGAGAATAATTGGAATTGATTTCTGATAATTTGGCTGTAATTGTATGGATGTCAAATCAACTGTTTAAGACTTATGTTTGATTTTACTCTCACTGGTATTGTTCAACCAATATCATATTTTCTAATACAAAATGACAAAAATCATTTTAACTTTCACTGAAGTGTTGTAGGACAGTTCCACAGAAAGATTTCATGTAACATGGATCCAAATTTTAACAGATGCAAAGACTGTGTCAGATTAGATGAAAAGGATGTGTGCCACTTGAACTATCAACATACTAATTAGGGTATGAAGAGAGTAAAGAGAAAACCCTGCTCCTGAGTCCAGTGGCTCACACTGGTCTGAAGTCAGTACTGACATCTAAATTATTCTCATTGGAGAAAAAAATAGAGTTGGGTAGAAAGGATTATGAACTTTTTATAACAAATTTTGAACGAAATGATCTTCGGAGCTAGACATGTGTAGCAAACATCAATTGAGAAAACGCCTCCCTTAGCCTCTCCAGATAGAACAGTTGGGGAGGCTGTGATAACACCAATTCTTGCATTGGAACCTCACGGCAGAATGTACAGCGCTGTACATGCAGAGAAAGGCATATCCTCCCCGAAAATCCCGGAAACAATATTATCTTAGTAGTATTTCAATAGCTCGGCCGTTGGAAACAAAGAACTGGTAGTTACCTGTTTTTCGTCTCTAATATTGCAAGGAACTACTTTCACCTCTCCAGTACTCGACGGTTGTACATAGCGACACAATTCCTCAGCTGTTCTTTTCAGTCTTTCCTCATTTCTAGAGGCAATAACAACCTTACTGCCAAGGTAGAGTAATTCTCTCGCAATTGCCTTTCCAATACCCGTACCACCGCCAGTGACAATTGCTACTTTGCCCTCAAATAACCCTGGCCGGAAGACAGACATCATGCTCCACCTATGGGTTGCGAACTGCGTGTTTCGCGCGAGTCGTGGCGAAGGTAAAGGTTGCGCATGATCAAAGTATTTCCAAAAAGTTGCTGTAATACTGCGGGCACTAATTTTAATAGAGCCTCCAGCTCTTACTGGCCAGCGGAATTTATTTTCAAGAAAGACGTGTTCTTTAAAATTTTTTGAAAATGCAGGTATGTAAACTCGTGTTTTTCTGCAGAATGTGTCAAATTTGCTTAAGAATGATCTCTTGTTATATGTTCCCCATGCAAGAAACAAGATGACTCAACAGGGAATACGAGAGAGGCGGAACTGCTCCCAATCGACATCTATTACAACAAACTTTTGGGTAAGGATTTAGAGCCGATAACAAACCGAAATTATGTTATGCTATGGCTATAAATAAACTCTTGGAAATAATCATGAAAAATGGGCCTTCAAATTTAAGTCAATAAAGGAAATTTAGAATTTGACTACACATCATGAGGAGTAGAATGAGTTGAGATTGCCGAGGTTGGCATGGAAATCCCCAACGTAAATGGTGGACGGATTAATTGAAACGTAAACCATTGATTCTTCAAGGAGTTTGATTTATTACATAGCTTTCGAAAGGTTTAGTTTATGTCTTTGTGTTCATCCTGATTCAAATTTAATCACTCTTTTTCTGGATTAGAGACGAAACAGCAAGGATAAACAACAACAACATCAACACTACCTTGTACTTTTACATTAATAACTGTAGATCCCAAGCTGGTGGCTCTTCCAAATTCAGATTTGTCCTTTCAAGAGAACAATTGTATCCTCTATACATATGAATCAAAGGTTCTTGTTTGAAAATTTTTATTTACCTCTGATTGCATTTCTATCTTGTTGAAAAAAAATACAGACTGGCTTTTGGATAGAAGACACTGTGATGTGAAATGGCAGACAGGTGTTTTGGAGGTTAGAGAGAAAATTAATGCAGCCATTCAGGATATGCCGCCTGTGGATGAAATCACACAGCTTCTTTCTGGAACATGTGAGTCATTCTTAGACATGTTTTAGACATTTCATTAATCCCTAAAGGTGATAAGCTTCTAATTTCTCCAAACAGTATCACCCCTGAATCAAACATTAAGGTCATGAGAGTAAAGAAAATGATCATGATCACAAATTCTCTTTGAAAGTGCCATAGGAAAAGTATAGAGAATAGTATGGAGAACTTGCATACTGATGTTAGGGTGTGAAGGGTCACAGTGGACTCATTTGATTACATAGTTCATTGCTAGGACGTGATTAAAATACATGTCCTTAAAAACTTATAAAACTGCAAAGACTTATTTATGCATTCAGTTTGTGTTTATTTTTGCTATAAAATTATTATGATGTTAGTTATGAAAATTTGGTATTGGATGAATGGATAATCTTCTAATTGATAATTTCATTGATTCTCATTACTTTTCAACTTGATGCTGTATAGCTCTTGCAAGGAGAAATTCTGTCTTGATCACTTGTGAGAGTAAAAGGGTTAACAGTATTAGAAGCTTGTATTCTTGTTACAGTTATTGTTAACCTAGATCATTTTTAAACCCTGCTTGTACTTTAGGTAAGTCAGGTTGAGAATATTTGTATGTATAATAATTATTTCATTTTAACTTTTACAGACATCAACTACTTTCACTGTATCAGAATTGTAGAGTTACTAAAGATATCAGAATCAGCAACAAAAAACATTTTTGGTGGTTATTCGTCAAAGAGGATGAAGGTTAGTACCTAGGATGCAACATTAAACTGTGGTGACGCATAAATGCTACTGTTGTGACTGGATGGAATGACTCACCAATTTTTCATTCCTTTTTTCCATCCTGAGCAACTTGAAAGTTCTGCCTCTACTTTAAAGGGTCATATCTTTTTTCTGTTTTCATCCAGTTATTAAGAGGGAATGCTACAAAATACAGTTGAACCTGTGTAAAGTGGCTCCATCTTACATGGTCACCCTGGTTTAAGTGGTCAGTTTTCAAAGTCAAGAATTTTTTGCCTCTTTAATTCCCATGAGTGACCAAGACTGAATTTCTCCTAGTAATTTTGAAACAACATTAAGTAGACAAGTGATGAGAATTAAGAAAAATATGAATTAGGGAATTATCAGTTGATCCAATACCAAATTCTCCAAAACAACATCATGAGAATTGTATGACAGACAGTAAGGAGAATTACTAATGAGATCTTGGGAGTCAAAAGATTAAGTACTGTACAGTCATTTAATCACCTCTATTATCCACCTCTCTATCAAGGTGGGAAGTACATCTGCGTCTGAATTAATGTTGCTATGTTGTCAAAATGACACAACAGACAGATTTGTAGAAGTTTTACAATGAAAGTAAAGTTTAAACATTTATTAACTTATATATTGCATCAGGAATCAAAGAAAAGTGTAGGATGACATTGTTTTATTTTCTTATAACAGGACTGGCAGGAAATTGTGAAGCTATATGAAAAAAATAACATCAACCTAGGTACAGTATTTTTCAATTATTGGGCTGTTCATTTGTTGGAGCTTAATACTAACAACTACTAAATATCTTAAACACGCCTTTCACCATTTCCTCTAGTTGTTGTAAAAATGTGTTACAACAGTATTTTCTCAATCACTGAATCATTATATTGTTTGCTAAAGACAATGTTTGTTTGCCAAAGACAATGTTTTACAAATGACATAAAAAATGAAAACACTCAAGTCCGAAATTGTTGGTATGGAAGAATGACTATGTAGTCATGTAATTTAATGATCTGTTCAGTTATAAAGAAGTTGATGGATATATGTTAAGCTATAATTTTATCTCATATACATGCAATAGCATGTAAAATGCTATTGCACAGTTTTTAGCCTACTATTCTTTAGTTATTAGCTAGTGAAATAGCTAATTAAAAAAACAAGTGAAAAAACTAATTACTGTACCTAAATAGCCACTTACATGACTTGTAGACCTGATAACTAATAATAGAGATACTATTATACAATAATAGAGATTTCAAAAATTAGTTTCCTTTAAGATGATCAGATATTGCTGTTAGTGGCTAATGTAAAGAAGTGCAATGCCATGTAAAATCAGAAGCAGTGCAGTAATAAACAATAAGAGTCAGCTACAGGATTTTGCTTCATGATTAATTGAGGGAATAGACATTATTACAAGTAGAAGATGACCTGGAAAGGCAGGATATACATTGTAAATAAACTGTCAGTAGCATATTACATGTACCTATTATCTAACAGAGGTCCTTTGAAAACTCTCTAACTTTATTGTCACAAGCTCATGGCATTTTTTATTTCAGCTGAAGCTGCTCACCTTTTAATAAGGAATGTCAACTATGAGATCCCATCATTAAAGCGGCAAATAGGAAAGTGTCAGCAGACTCAAAGGGTAGGGTTGATTAAAAAAGAGATTAATTGATAGAATTGATTGGTTATGACAAACATTGTTATCTATTAGTGGCTAGTGCATGCATGCCCTCGAGGTACTGTTAGTACTAACACATTGACATGTACTGTGTGATTAAGGATTGCACAAGGAAGGAGAGTGAATATTCATCCAATGCAGCATTATTTAAAGAAAAGTATCAAAGTGTGTGCCGACAAATGGGTATTAAGGTATGTGTATGGAATTGTAATGATCTGTAAGTTTGCAAAGCTTACATCTACTATAAATGGGTAATATACACGTACATGTACACATTTATTTACATTTATATGGAGCAACAAGATTCAATTTTATTTTCAGGGTGATGATGTGAAAACAGAATTATTGAGTCTACTGAATGAATTGCCTGAACTATACAAAGGGATTGTATCATCCATTGGCAGTTTAAAGAATGCAACTCATTATTACGAGGCATTTGTCAACTTTTTAGTTCCAAGGTGTGTTACACAACATACATCTTATTCATTGTGTAAATACATATACTGTAAACTTTTTTTCTGCAAGTCGCCTAGAACCATGTACATGTGACACATACTGTACCACTCACGTATATGTTAACCGAAAAATGCAAATTAAACGCGCCAAAAATCACATGCAATTGCGAATAAAAAAAATCGTCCGCATCAAAAAATCGCATGTACGCGCACGACCTTGAAATATTGGCCTCATTAGTATGTATGAGGTAGTCCTTTTGTTTTTCTATTGTTGGCGGTTTATTGTTTTAAAGAATAGGCCACAATGTAGTAGCACTAAAATACTACATGGCTACCAACGACAAGCAAACTTGTGTGTTGCAATCGCCATTCAAACTGACCTTCCCAATATGCTGTTACCAATGCATAATTGGAATATATAAATGATTTATCATTTTCCTACAGAATTTATTTATCAAAATAGCCATTTGACACTTCGTAGATAGATACATCTGTCGCAACGGCCTGGGAATTTGTTCAAAGTAAATTCAGTCTCAGTGTATTGTAATTTGGTAGAATCAGCTAAGGCGCCTGTTTGTTACCAGTTGTCACGTTCTGAGTGCAAACCCATGCCTGAATGCTCATTTCATAGCTTTTGTCATTGGTGAACATGCTGTTCTTGGAGAAAACTGTTAATATAGTGGTATAAATTTGAAATACTTAAAAATGCCTGATATAGGCATTTATATTATGTACCGTCCAGAAGCTTTCCTACATGTAGTTTTTGGGTGGGGGTAAAGGGGTAAGGGAGTAGGGAGTAGGGAGGGAGGGAGGGAGGGAGGAAGGAAGGAAGGGAGGAAGGGAGGTAGGGTGGTTGTCAGAAGGGACAGTCAATATCACCGATTTCTCTGAGTTGTAAAGACTTTTTAGCTGCATCTGCACAGGTCTTACAATAAGGCAGCTCTCTTATTGCCACCATTCTTCTATTTATTGCAAGCACATGTTTGTGTATTTTTAATTAATAGCTTAGTCATCAACCCCATTCTGTCGTAGGGCTATCTTTGGTCTCACAGGGGTATTCTTTAGTAAGAAAAAATATTTAACACTTTCAATTTCACCAGAAGTTCCTATAGGTTTTCATACAGGAATGAAAAATGTGAGGTTAATTTCCATTAGTGAACGTTGTATCTCTTAGTTGGTACATAAGCATTTAGCAGGTGTTTATCACTGAATAACCCACTATACTCCAAAGTTTATTTGAATTGAAATCTCTCTACCTTTATTTGAACACAGAGATGTAATTATTATCTTACTAACCTGGTTTTCTTGATACTTACTGTACGTTATGGAACCTTGTTTTTTTTCTGAGGGGAAAATTCTTGGTTCATAACTTTAAGTCGTGACTTCAAACTTGATTAGTTTAAGGTACTACCAGTAAGTTACTCAGCTGGAACTGTTCTTTTACAAGTAAGGGTATACTTATTATTTTTCAGTTATAACCACGAGAAAGAGAGCTCTGAGGTGACTACACCACTTGTACGACACATCCAAAAGCATGGTAACAGCACAGTTTATCAGTGGAGGACTGGCAAGATACCATCGGTATGAATATTTCCAATGTTTTCCTGATAAAATGTATGAAGATGTGTAACAAATCTTTGTTTTGTTAATTTAAGGTTATTATTCCTGACAAAAGACCAGAGACAACAAATGTAGAAAATGAAGAAAGTGGGGATGTGAGTGACTTTGAATGTGTAATTTTTTTTATTAAAAAACCTAACATTGATTATTGGTATGACTAAGAGCGTTGACTTTTGACATAAATAGGTTAAACAATTTCCTCTTATATGATGAATAAATTAGGTACATGCATGCATTACATGGACCAGGAATTACAATGTATTATGGTTTGGCTGTTACAAGTTCAATCATGAAGCAAATTAACAACATGGAGTTAAAGAAGGCATCTTAGTAAGATTTCACTCAGATAAGTCATCAACACAGCCAACAGAATTGAAACTCCAAAAGCACAAGAAGAGCAGAACAGGCAGTCAGCAACAAAAGTGGACATACATGTATGAGGGAACAACATAGACTTCTTGCAATCATAATTATGATGAAAACGCCCAAATAAGAGTGTGTCAAGATGTACCAATAGTGGCTTACTATCTTGTTTTTTAAATAAGGAGGGGGATTAATTTATCATCATGGCCTGGCAAAGACTAGCAGTTTAGCAAGGAATAAATGTCACAGTCTACAATTAAAAGTATTTCTCTTTTGTGATTATGTTTAATATCATAATCCTGTATATATATATATATATATTTTTTTTTTTTCTGTTCCCACAGATTGATTGGGGCATTGAAACTGTTACCACCACTGACACTGGGGCAGATAATATTGATTGGGGGGGGGGTGGTGAGGAAGACACAGGGGGGATAGACTGGGGGGACAGTGGTGAGACTATTGACTGGGGTGAAACAGGGCAGGATAATCAGGACAGTGCTATTGATTGGGGAGATGACACTGGGACTGCTGACCATGAAGTGACAGTGGATAGTGGAGGAATTACATTGGAAGGGTCTGGTCAAGGTCAGTAACAACGTGGTGCATTTTCATTTGCGTTATTGCAATTTTAGTATTATGAATAATGTGTAGATAAGCAAGTTAAGAGCAGTGACGTTATTTTTTAGATGAAGGAGGAGTGATAAGTGGTGAAGATGCCGAGACTTTAATGGATACAACTCAAACAAGAAATCTCTTAATTGACGAGCTCCTGGAGGTGAGTGTTATGCACATTTTGTTTATCCTTTTTGTTATTTAGTGTTTCTTTTCTCAGCAAGATTTCTTTGCACTCTTCTTTCTACAGCTTCAGGGTTTCTTACGCCAGAGACTGATGGAGATGAAGAGTGATTCTGATGTCTTGTCAGCCAATCAGGTATCTTACACTGTGCTTGTAGTTATCAAGTTTATAGTACTTATCAGAGTTTCTGTCCAAATAGATGCTACATGTTGCAAGCTCTGCCCACTGACTTACAAGAGAGCTCTTAAGCTAGTGGCAAGCTAAGCAATTTGCCGTAGATGGAGGCAGTATATGTTAAGGTTAGAATGTTCCCCCTTCCCTCGAAGACCGTTCCGATCCCGTTCTATCTTTTCCACTATCCTCCTGGAGCGAGATAAAGAGAGAGAGATATATCCTGGGTAAGGGGTTGCTGCCAGTGAATGTATGTGTACATTTTAGAAATTTCTGTACGTTAAATAACTATAATGCACCCATAGAAACAGTAGCAAAGGCGAAAGTCCTATCAAAATAAATTGTTATGGCCAGGCAGGGAAATAGAAATGGTAATATTACCAGTGATTGCAATAATATATATAACTGAAAATCAGTTCCATTTTAAGAAATGTGTTTTGGTTGTAATTTCTATTGTTTGTGTGTTTAGTTTCAGTCGGCTCCTCAGCTAATTCAAATGCAGTCAGTGGAATCAGTCCAATCCATGGAGTCCGCTGTAACAGATGTTCTGTCGACCCTCACTTCAATGAAGATGCACAATTTGTTTTTACTTAAAACTTCTCCTCGGTAATGTTAATAACCAATCAGTCCTCAGATCTCACTTTTGATGATCCTTATTGACTGTCATACTTTTGTCATATTAGAAGTTTAATCGAAAAACATATCCTTAGTTGCTAATTTTCTTTTTTTCATTAGCTATTTATGTGACATCGTATTAAGACTGTAACAAGAATTTATCTGTGGATCACTCCCATCTCCTATGCGATTGGTTCGAAATGTCGTCGGTTGAAGGTTACACAAAAATTTCGCTTCTTTGGGTGGGTGGGGGAAGGGGGGTGTAGGGTGATTGTCAAGAAGGGAGAGGAGGGACGGTCAATATCACAGATTTCTCTGAGTCGTAAAGTTATTTTAATGCATCTGCATAGCTCCTACGATAAGGCAGCTATCAAATTGCCGCCGTTCTCTATTTATTGCGAGCAAGCGTTTGTGTATTTTAATCAATAACTTATGGCCCTTTCTGTTTCCAGATACCTGGACCGCTTAGCTGATTCCCTTCAGCAAAAACTTAAAGTCTCAGAAAAACTGGTAACGTCCATTAAAGTGATGGCAGATAAACGACAGGCGGCCACCATAGAACAGAGAGACTTGGAACCTAAACTTGAAATTATCAGAACTAAGACAAGGGAACTTCAAGAACAGGTAAGACAGCAAAGTTACTACTTTCAGAGGAATTAATCTGTTGTGTTGTGTCGGCGGGCAGGGGATGTACGAAGTTTGTTATCAATTTGGAAATAAAAGGCCGTATATGTGTTGGATTTCGAAAATTTGACGTTTCAAGCAGTAGCCTGAATCTCGGTGCAAAGGACTAAAGGCTAGCCTGCAAATGCCCTTCGAAAGTCATAATTTGTTATTTGATTATTTGTTGTTTGAACCCCCGGCTTTGAACACTAAAACATTTGCTAGACAACGGCCATCATGAGCTACTTATGACACATAACGCCTTGGGAAAGTAAGAGGTCAGGTCTTATTTCAGGTGACAGGAGTTAAAAAGCTTTTAGTAAAGATGCGCGTCTCGAGTATAGCCATGTTCCACACGTTTGCGTGAAGATCCTGCGTGTCACCTGTTTTAAGATGTGTCTGACTTCTGCCTTTCTCTGAAAGAGGAATGGAAGTGAAGGAAACAGAAGTCCTGACAATATACCAACCTCTACCTGTGACAGTCTATTCCGTGTCCAATTGTCGACCTCATCTGAGTCACTTTTGGTAATACGGTAAAAAATACCCCAACCCCGAGAAAAGCCATTATCAGACCTGATAAACTAGTTTCATTATATATTATGTAAAATATGTATTTTGCTGCCCTATCAACCATGTCTTCGTCGTTATCCATTTTCCTTTTTCAGATTTCTCAAGAAATATCCAAGAAATACAAGAACAGGCCGGTGAATATAATGGGTGAAATAAACACTATTTAGAAACAGGTTGTTTATTTCATGTTTACTGTGTTGTCATTTCTGGTGTTTAAATTGAAGTTATATTAAATAAAACTACAGCAGTGTTAAAAAAAAACACTCAAAATAATGTTGTCATTCATTTCGTTAAATTCGCGGTATTTATAAATAATGTATCAGAGAGAATGAATTTTTTAGCTCTACAATAGTTGGACAAATGCCCCTTGTATTAATAGGCCATTTTACAGTTGTGTACTTAGTTGCCAAGCCTTTGATTTGGAGTGAAGCTGAAGGTGACCTTGTTGTGATAGAGACCAGTATCTAGTTAGCATGATAACAAAGTAATTTGCATCTGAAAAGCAGCAAGGTTTGTATCATAACAAGGTGTACCTTAACCTCACTCCTGTTCAAGGGCTTGGCAACCAAGCACATAACTGTAAAATGGACTATTCTTGAACAAATAAAAAGGAGAGCATATTATGATATTGTGATTAGAGGTTTATTGTTTAAGCGTCAAACTTGTGGCAGCGTTATCTAAAGCAATTAACATAAAGCATGTGACATACATTGCATGACCAACACTGAAATCGCCCCGCCTTCCCCTCCCATCCCTTTCCTTCTCATTAGCTGTTGTACCCTCTTGAATATCACTAATTGCAAAGGAATTTCAGAGTTATGGCAGAGTTGTAAGTCGCCTAGTCTCCTACGTCCAGAGAATGGCTACAAAGGAGACTGGAAGTTAATCATCTTCTCGTTAGTTGTTGTGCCCTTTTCAAAATAGCCAATTGCAAAGGAGTTTCGATGGGACACTACAGAAGTTTCAACACTATAATCAGAGTTCTGACAAAACAACAAAATAACAAAACAACTATTAATAGCAAAACAATTAGTTTATTTAAAATCAACTGTGGTTATCAACATGTTACCACAGAGACTTAAATTAAGATTATGAGCAAGTACTCTTCTGTCAATACTAACAAATGAGAGATCCTTTCTATAACTCCAACAAAGCAATTTTCTAAGTTTTTTTACATGAAAATTTTCAAAACATTTAATTTCTAGTCGTTATCAAACACAAACGTCCTTTCTCTGTGTGCCAATTATAGCATTCTCCTCCACTTTAATGAAAGAGCACAAGAGCCTCCTGAAAAACTATTCTAAATGTTGACATAAAAATAACAATCTAACAACTAAATAAGATTTTGCTTGAAATTGAACGTGCCATCACCTTGGTATATATAACTGCTCTTGTACCCTGCATTATGAGAAAGGAAACAAATCTGTAATTATTCGTCCTGACCACTGAGACGATGACTGAGTCTCGTTTTAGAACGCTGCAAACTCAAACTCGGTTAACTCGAGCGTTTTTGCATGTTTTCCGTCATCCCTATCTGTAAAATGTATCCTTTGTTACCCTCCCTCCCCCCCCCATATACTTCAGGGAACACAACACTGACCATGGTCACATCTACAAGTTGGTATCAACCCTGTGCCGGTTTTCCATTTTGCAGGAAGCCGTTAGAGGTGAAGGAGAACGTTTTCCAATTGATTGGAAATCGTAACACTAAATTTAACATTTAACATGGGGATTCCGGTGATAGTATCCAAGGACGCCATACGTAACACAAACCAAGCCCCTATTTTTTAGGATAATTTACAACCAGCGCCAATGGCAGAGGAAATTCAGTCGGCCCAAAGGGCGGAAAAACAAAGATAATGGGCCTAATTGGTCGTATGAAAATTGAAAAATGAGTTTAGTTTTGAGTTCATCAAGGAAAAAAAAAGGATTTCATATATGTAATACCGTATTCCTTGAATAACCACCAACGCTCTAAGAAGCCCCCCCACAATAAGTGGCCAACCCCTAGCCCCTAAAATCAAACAAGCGCCCCCCTCCTTTTTTCTCACTTTGTCAAACAGTTTGGATACGTTTTATATATAACTTTTTAAGCTTCAGTTAGAATAGTTTCTTAATAGGCGCTAATTTCCAATGAGGACCCCCACTTAAGCTTAAACTTTAAATTAGAGCCCGGGTGCTTATTCGGGGAAATAGGGGCATTGAAATGCACAAGAAGATGAAGAACTGACTCACAACTTTTTTTGTGCACGATAACAAGAGTTGCTATGTGCTCTTCATCGGAGAAATGTAATGTTTACCCAACCATGACCAGCGCTATCATAGCAACATTCATTTTGTTGATTTGTTCCATTGTTAAAAGATCCTCCCCCTCCCCCACAGGAAATATCCTCATTAGCCCCGCCACTTCCCCCAGTGAAACCACCACCACCGCCGGGTCCCCTGTTGGAAATACGTAAACCACCGCCACCTCCGAACCCACCAAAAATCTTTCCACCCTCTCCCCCCTGAAGATATCCTGAACCTCCTTTTCCCCCTCCTTTACTAGAGCTCGTTGCATTATGTCCATTACTATGGAAGCCGCCACCACCACCACCTGCAATACAATAAAAAAGTGATCAGTGATTCTCTTAAAAATAGCACCCATACATTTAATTTCTCGCGATCAAACGACGATCCGCAATGTTCTGAAACTTAATTTAGTTCTTTATTTTTAAAGTTTAATTAGTGGAGATTGTTAGTAACAAAAAAGCTCATGAGGAAAAGTCAGCGCAAAAATGCTGCAATTAACTTTTTAGTTAGTGCTTCTGTTTAATCCAGATCCGCAATTGACAAATGAGAAGTCTTGTCAAGTTTTTCGATGTCATCTCCTGCGGTATATTCGCGGATCCATGTCGATAATTACTAAATATACAGGAAATTTGAAAAGTAAAGAGGAAAAATTTAACAGAATCTTAAGTATTACATGAGGCGCTAGCTTCCAAAAGAATCATCAAAGAAAATCCTCAAAATTGATGTTGAGAATTTTGATAATTACAGTTTTTATAAATCCTCCAAATTTGATTATCAGCGACTTACTCTATCATTGGGTTGGATCGGAGATAGTGAAGGATGGCAGTAGAATGCAACGAATTTCTCAGTATTTATAAAAAGCAAATTCTCCACCAACCAGAATTCACATCATTAGTAAGTCCTCCTTGTCCTCCTATTTCACCTGATCCCAGTGGCGAGTTGTTCCCTGCATTTGCAGTGGTGTCTTGGGAAGCATCACATCCCAGATGTTGTTCTGACATATTTTGATTCCCCCTCCACCTCCAGCTATGATTAAAGGCGTGTTGTTTCGTCTCACAAAAAATGTACCTCCACCACCTCCAGCACTTTTTAAGTTGTTCTTCCCTTTTTTCCCTTCTTGACCAACAAGTATATGAATGATCTCATCTTTGGTCAAAATAAAGTTTCCAATCATTCGTGCCCCTCTTCCACCGTTCTTGATGATACTGTCCTCACCGTACCCCCCTGAGGCTCCTATTGCTTCTATTCTGTATTCGCCAGTGTATGGCACAGTCCATTGTTGAATACCGCTGGACAATGTCACTTGCCCGTCGTGATCCTGACCTGCGTAGTGACTTCCAATTTGGACTGGACCAGTAGTTCCACTCTTACCAAGAGTTGTAAACACTGCTGTAAACCCTGCATAATAATCGCAAAATGAAAGGGAAAGTTATCGTACTGCTAAGAAATTAATTGTCAAATTACTTTGGGTATTGCCAATGTTGCACCCTACCGCTTCCCAAAAAAGTATTCCTGTAAATTCGGCAGATATGGCTATCTTCATGACGATATCTTCGTATTGGCTCTGGTAATGATCATAGAATCTACTTTCACCCGCAAATATGCTGTAACTCTTGCTGGTAACTCCTCGGAAACTGGTAAATTCACCAAGCTGCATAGCTTTCAACGCCGCAAAATGCAAATTCGTTCACATCTTTAAGAAGGACATCGCTCGAGTGTGTACCTTACGCTTAAGACCTAAGCATCAATGATTCCCGTGATCTCCAATGGGCAGAGCATGCAGGAGAAATAACCTCAAAGGCCAACAAAACCTTTCGTGAATCAGGCAAGTTTTCCGTGATGTCAATGACGTTTAGATAAGGAACCTGCTGTGCTGTCCTGTGGTCAGACCCAAACTTGAATAATGCTCGTGCCTATGGTCTCTTTATTATACAGTCATACACAGAGCATTAATTGAGAAAATCCAAAGGTCTCTGGCTAAGTTTATTCTTAATTACCCACTGAATAACGTCTCTTATGCTGATCGGCTCGTTCTGCTGGGCCTGCTGCCGGTGGAATACCGTACAGAAATTAGGGACATTACACTCTTGTACAAGTTTAAGTCTGGTGCTATGTCCACCAGAAAAATATGGAGAGATAAGATAGAATGATATGTTATAAACAGTTACCTGTGCATTTGGTTCCATTTCCACGAAATCCATCTTTACACTTGCAGTTGAACGATCCCAGGGTATTGTTACACTCAGCATTCACATCACAGTTGTGTGTTCCGTCAGCACATTCGTCCAAGTCTAGAGAATCAAAAAAGAAGAATCTTTTGTACGGAACCTGTTTTTATGTTTTTATCTCGTGTTTTGTGGTGTTGTTGTTTCCCGTTTGTTTCCTTTAATTGATTTTTGAGATCTTACAGTCAACTATTTTATTTTTGTTGTATCGTTACCATGCTCCCACCAGTACCGTGACTCCATATTCCGCATATAAACAGACACAACTCATTCGCTATGACGAAGGACTAACGCTCGAAACTTCAGATTTTAAACTCACAACAGTGGCCTATTTTACGTTATCAACTCACTTGATGTTACCAAATTACCTTTGCAGCTTGTTCCATTTCCACGAAATCCATCTTTACACGTGCAGTTGTACGATCCCAGGGTATTGTTGCACTCAGCATTCACATCACAGTTGTGTGTTCCGTCAGCACATTCGTCCAAGTCTAAAGAATTAAAAAAGAAGCATCTTTTGTACGGAACCTCTTTTTATTTTATTATCTAGTGTTTTGTGGTTTTATTGTTTTCTCGTTTGTTTGCTTAAGTAGATTTTTGGGATGTTATAGTCAGCTACTTTATTCTAATTTTCTCGTTACCACGTTCCCGTGTAATTCCATATTCCGCATATAAACAGACACACAACCCACAATTCCCCCACTTGCTCTGACGAAGGACTAGCGCTCGATACTTCAGATTTTAAACTCGCAATAGTGGCCTATTTTACGTCATCAACTCACTTGACACAACTAAATTACCTTTGCAGTTAGTTCCATTTCCATGAAATCCATCTTTACAGATGCACTTGTAAGATCCCAGGGTATTGTTACACTCAGCATTCTCATCACAGCCGTTTGTTTCACTAGAACACTCATCTATGTCTGAGAAAACAAAATGAGCGCCACATTTATATAAGGGTTTGTGTGTATTTGACGTGCTCTGGCCGCAAGTGTTTTCGCCTCCATGCTAACGTTCCCCGTTGTCAGATAAGAAATGACCACACATTCATTTTACAGACTACAAAAAAATTTAGAGGGTTCCTCACCTCTATCACAATCGTGACCTTCAAATCCAGATCCAAAAGCACACAAACACTGATAATCTCTGTGTGTAAAGCCAGCTTGGCATGTTGCATTATTTCTGCAAGGATTACTGGCGCAAGCACTCTTAAGAAGAAAAAGAATATGACCACTTCAATTTTTGTGCTTGATAAAAACAGCTCCAGAAGCGGTCATTCTTAAATAATAGAGTATGCCTCTCTTAATTCTTTATTTCAACATTTTAAACGTTCAATTATCGTAACCTATATTCTGGTGGGTGGAAGGAGAATTTAGAGGAGTGGCAGAGGCTGAGAGATGCTTAGTCTTAGTCTTGTAAAAAGGCCTCAACGAGTAGAAAGTCTCATACTCTTGGCTTATAAACGTCATCCTCACCTCAGCTCCACGGTAAATGTAAGTTTCGTTTTTTACCAGGTCTTCATCGTGTTCAATGGTCGCGTTATTCAGATCACACTTGTGTGTTCCAGAAGCCTGTCTTAGCTTATGGAAGTTATAACTGACACAGTTAGGTTCCAGATAGCATTGTAACCTGCAGAGATCCTCGTCGAATACTTCAATAGTTCGAACCGTGTGATTCTCCAACCTGTAGCCAGTTTTAGGAAAACTGGTAAACTTCAAATTGCGGCAGTTGCCTGGTGAACAATTATATGAAGAAAATTGCTATGTCACATTGAGCCCCTCTGCTGAGACTGGAATTGTAGAGCAGTGTTACTGCTGAGTTATTGTTTTGGTTTAACACCAGAAGAGTGATTTATATTAATAATCTGACTTATCATGTTATCTTCCTTTAGTTGTGATCAGCTATCGTGATCGAACGATTGTTGCCGAACTCCATAAACACCTTTGTTGTTACATAGAGCAAATCGTGTTTATCAAGTGGTAATGGTCCTCTCCTCTAAGCATGTTTGGTTCTTTGAAAAAAGGTTTGTTATCGAAACGTGTTGTGAAGTTTTTATTGTGTCAATTCATAAGAAGCGGTTGTTTTTATGTCGCGTGACTTCAGCTTTCGACCAAACTGCGTATTAATAATGAAAAGTGCGAGAAGACAAAATTGGTCGTTCACGCAAAACTGTCAACTGTCGTCTTTGTTAATCAAATCTTTTGTTTGAACCACCTGTTTTTACCTCAAGCTAAGTAAGAACTTCCTTTCTGCGGTGGATCATAAATAACTTATACCATAGTTCTACCAACTCGCTCGAATACACTAATTCAGTCTTCGATTTAGGTGTTTTGAAATATGAACCAACATGTAGATCAACTTTGGAGCCAGATTGTAAAAAAAAAGTCAGGTTTTTCTACAGATGACACGATTAAGTGCGTTATGTTGCTCGCTGTGACGAACTAAAAGGTTTCTTTACCAAGAATTAAAAAGCTTTACACTTGTGTAAAGTTTTAAGTTAAACAAGACAAGCCATTTTGGTTGAGTTTAGATGAGCCTCTCAACACATCCATCGTGCATGATCAAAAAAGTCGAACACGTCCCTAGACTTCAATTCATTGAAGAGACAGTGACTGTTTTTTTCTCTAAAGTTAACTTTGCTTTAAGATACTCCAATAAGCGCCCCTCCTTTTTTAATTTAGATGAAATAATTAATTATATTTGATATTAAAAGGAGAAGCTTATGCGATTACTTTAAGATTCAGTTGTTGTAAACAAAAAAATATATGAAATGAAAAAATAATTTGTCACCTTAGTAAACTTTGAAATATATTCAAACCATAACAAAGTCATAACTGTGGTAAAATCTTACCTTGTCCTTCCGGTATTAGGGAGGCCAAAACAATGACAACGAAGAAGTAGAGTACAGAGAGCATGTTCTCAGAAAACACCAGTTATAACTCTAGCGAACAGCCACAGTGAGTTTTTCAAACATGAGGGAAACATCACGCAAAATATGACAGCTCAAGTTCGCTCTCCGTTCAAATGTTCTACTCCTTTATTATTTATGAGGTTCTCAGTTGTTTTCGTACTTGAATTAGTTACTTTGGGATTTAGTTGGTTGATAAAACTCGATTATACAGAATGCACGTAAATCTTTTATAATGCAAAACATTTCTTAGGAAATTGGACCTATGCCAATCGACGAAACGAGTAATTGGCCATATCGATCTTTGATGAAGAGGTTTTTTTTTAAACATAATCACCCGCAGCCAACTCAGCCAATATTACAGTGTGCTTCCGTTCTGGAAAAGAGTCACTCGAGATGAATGATTGACATTCTTTGAAAGTGTGTCAATTATTTTAAGATCTTGTGATTGCTCCGTTCAATTAGAAATTGTGTTGAAAATCCTTGAACCATAAATTTTAGGAGTGAAAGAAATCGGAGAGGTGAGTGTCTGAGAATCAATCGATGGCTTTAAAACATTTGAACAATTGATCAATGACTCTTACCACACTAACTGAGTTCGAAGAGCGCTCGCTTAAAACTGGTGCTCAGGCTCTTTTTCCTCGTCAGTATCTGTCATCTTTTAAGCGGATTACCTTTGTTCTTTCTGTCCCAGATGCCCGTGCAATAAGCAATCTGCTTCATGCGAAAAAAAAGATGTTAGGTGCGATTGAGTCGGGCCAAAGAGCAGAATTAAGAGGGTGGAAAAAAGTATTTGCGTGACGCGTGATGGCTCCAAAATTTGCAGTGTGACGCGTGATTGAACCCAATTATCAGCGTGACGCGCGACCGGACAACGCAACGTGATGCGTGATTTGCTATTTTGCAAACGCATGATGCGTGATTTACAAGACTTCTTATTAGAATTCCGTGATAAGTGAACGCCCCTTAACCTAAAAGGATACCAATCATCAAAAGTAAATAGGGTCATAACGAAGATCAATAAAACGTGGCATCCGTGTTATTGTTTTCTGGTCTTTTCCGTTCTTTCCAAATTAGCAAAGCTCATACTAGTTCTCGCGGGATAACTAGTTAGCCATATATGAGTTCAAACTATGATGACCATAGGATGCCCAGACGAGTAAACGCTCTCAGAGCGTCTAGTTTCCACAAGTAAGTCGTTTTTATTTTTCAAACAAAAAGCAATATGACAAGTGAGATGCAATTCATTTCAGGGCAAAAAACGGTAGATGCAAGATAATTTTTGATAATACATCCGATAGGTTGAAATCTTACATTATAAGCTTAGCGTACTTACTCTTTTTTAAGTGACGCGTGATTGGGTTTAAAAAATTCTCCGTGATGTGGTGTGATTGAACCCGCCTTTGCCACCCTCAATTTAGGGATACTGGGTCTGACTGATCGTATGAAAATTGAAAATCCGAAGTTAGTTTCACTCTAATCGACAAAAACGAAAAAGCGATTGAATGATAAACCCTCATAGTCAATTGAAAACCATTTTTAAACATGTAAGACTTGAGATACACAAGTTCTATATAAAATATTTATCGATTTTAGATCCTTTCATTTTATTTAATGATTGATTGTCAGTGGATAATAACCCTAAAATATCTCGGTAGCTGTTTTTCACATTATGTCAACCTATAAGCGAAAGCAATTTGTGTCTAAAATACCCCTCACCCTTAGAAAACTTAACGCTCACAAAAATGGGGTCTTTACCACACAGCTTTCAAAGTTACATTACACCAAAGCACCTAAATTCTTATAACCACAAGATAGCACGTGATAAAATATACTTGTCTTGATGTAATTGTCAGTTTATTTGGGCTACAGCGTAAAAAGGTAAGTTGCTTTCTGAATCAGATGTTCGGAATTCCGAGCCAAATTTCCAGGATCCACTCTTAAATATTGCAATATGATGACGACATTTGGTAACATTCAAGTATTCTTGCTCTTATATAATTTGCTGAAAATTACACATGACCACCGTCAATGTCACAGATTTTTCTGAGTCGTAAAGTTTTTTAATGCATCTGCACAGCTCCTACGATAAGGCAGCTATCTTATTGCCACCGTTCTCTATTTATTGCGAGCAAGCGTTTGTGTATTTTAATTTATAACTTATGGTCCTTTCTGTTTTCAGATACCTGGACCACTTAGCTGATTCTCTTCAGCAAAAACTTTAAGTCTCAGAAAAATTAGTAACGTCCATTAAAGTGATGGCTGATAAACGACAGGCGGCCACCATAGAACAGAGAAACTTGAAACCTAAACTTGAAATTATCAGAACTAAAACGTGCGTGCGCTAACATTAACCCTTCGAAAGTCATAATTTGTCATTTGATTATTTGTTTGTTGCAGGACTACGGCCATCATGAGCTACTTTTGACACATAACGCCTTGGGAAAGTAATAGGCCAGGTCTTATTTCAGAAGACAGGAGTTAAAAAGCTTTTAGTAAATATATGTATCTCGAGTATAGACATGTTCCACAAGTTTGCGTGAAGGTCCTGCGTGTCACCTGTTCTGAGATGTGTCTGACTTCTGCCTCACTCTCAAAGTTGAAAGGAAGTGAAGGAAACAGAAGTCCTGGTAATATACCAACCTCTACCTGTGACAGTCTATTCTATGGCCAATTGTCGATACCAAGGCCGAAAGAGCCATTACGAGACCTGATAAACTAGCTTCATCATATATTATATAAAATATGTATCTTGCCGCCTTTTCAACCACGTCTCTATCGTTATCCATTTTCCACTTTCAGATTTCTCAGGAAATCTTCAAGAAATACAAGAACAGGTCGGTGAATATTATGAGTGAAATAAACACTATCAAGAGCAGGCTGTTTATTTAATGTTTTACTGTGTTGTCGTTTTTGGCCCGTGGGAGGGGGAAACAGTTGTCGGTGTTTAAATTTAAGTTAATTCTCGCTAGTTATTGTGCCCTTTTGAAGATAGCCAATTTCAAAGGAATTTCGCTGGGAAACTACAGAGGTCTCAAAACTATAATCAGAGTTCTGACAAAACAACAACAAAACAACTATCAATGGCGAAAAAAATCAGTTTATTGACTAAAATCAACTGTGGTTATCAACATGTTACCATTGTGACTTAAATTAAGGTTATGAGCAAGTACTATTCTGTCATCACTAAAAACTGAGAGATCCTTTCTATAACTCTTACAAAGCAATTTTCTAAGATTTTTTATCATGAAAATTTTCAAAACATTTAATTTCTAGTCGTTATCAAGCACAAACGTCCTTTCTCAGTGTGTCAATTACAGCATTCTCTTCCATTTTATTGAAAGAGCACAAGAGCCTTCTGAAAAACTATTCTAAATGTTGACATAAAAACAACAATCTAACAACTAAATAAAATTTTGCGTAAATTGAACGTGCCATCACCTTGGTATGTATAACTGCTCTTGTAACCAGTATTGTTAAAAGATCCCCCCCTCCCCCACAGGAAATATCATCATTAACCCCGCCACTTCCCCCAGTGTAACCACCACCACCGCCCGGTCCCTAGTTGGTTTTACCTAAACCACCGCCACCTCCGAACCCACCATAAAACTTTCCACCCTCTCCCCCCTGAAGATATCCTGAACCGCCTTTTCCCCCTCCTTTACTAGAGCTCGTTGCATCATGTCCATTACTATGGAAGCCGCCACCACCACCACCTGCGATACAATCAAAAAGTGATCGGTGATTCTCTTACAAATAGCACCCATAAATTTAATTTCTTATCATCAAACGACGATCCGCAGTGTTCCGAAACTTACTTAAGCTATTGCTATTTGGAGTTTAATTAGTGGAGACTGTTAGTAACAAAAAAGCTCGCGAGGAAAAGTCAGTGTAAAAATGCTACAATTGACTCTTTATTTAGTGCTTCTGTTTAATCCAGATCTGCAGTTAACGAATGAGAAGCCTTGCCAAGTTTTTTGGTGTCATCTCCTGCGTTATATTTGCGGATCCATAATTCATTCGATAATTCACTAAATATGCAGGAGATTTGAAAAGAAAAGAGCAAAATTTAACAAAATCCTAAGTCTTGTATGAGGCACTTCAAAAGAATCATATAAAAAAATCTTCAAAATTGATATTGAAAAAATTTAATAATTACGGTTTTTATAAATCCTTCAAAATCTGATTATCAGCGACTTACTCTATCATTGGGTTGGAGATAGTGAAGGATGGCAATAGAATGCAACAAATTTCTCAGTATTTATAAAAAGGAAATTCTCCACCAACCAGAATTCACACCATTAGTAAGTCCTCCTTGTCCTTCTCTTTCCACCTGATCCCAGTGGCGAGTTGTTCCCTGCATTCCCTGTGGTGTTTATGGACGCATCACATGCCGGATGTTGTTCTGACATATTTCTGATTCCCCCTCCACCTCCAGCTATGATTAAAGGCGTGTTGTTTCGTCTCACAACAAATGTACCTCCACCACCTCCAGAAGTTTTTAAGTTGGTCCTTCCTTCTGTTCCTTTTTGACCAACAAGTATATGAATAATCTCATCTTTGGTCAAAATAAAGTTTCCGATCATTCGTACCCCTCTTCCACCGTTCTTGATGATACTGTCCTCACCGTACCCCCCTGAGGCTCCTATTACTTCTATTCTGTATTCGCCAGTGTGTGGCACAGTCCATTGTTGAATACTGCTGGACAATGTAACTTGCCCGTCGTGATCCTGACCTGTGTGGTGACTTCCAATTCGGACTGGACCCATACGTCCACTCTTACCAAGAGTTGTAAACGCTGCTGTAAATCCTGTATAATAATCGCAAAATGAAACAGAAAGTTAAGGTACTACTAAGGAATTGTCAAATTGTTTTGGGTACTGCCATTATTGCATACTACTGCTTAAAAAAAATATTCCTCTAAATTCGGCAGAATAAGATAACGAAGCAAAAATCTCCAGAAAATCCCACTAACAAGTAAGACTTCCTAAGTTGATTATTTTATTCCGAACCCAGTATATCTATATATAAGTATATCTTCATAACGGTATCTTCGCAGTGGCTCTGGTAATGAACATAGAATCTACTTTCAACCGCAAATATGTTGTCACTCTTGCTGGTTACCCCCAGGAAATTGGTGAATTCACCAAGCTGCATAGCTTTCAACGCTGCAAAATGCAAATCTGTTCACATCTTTAAGAAGAAAACTCCTTAAGTTGACCTTGGTTGACCTTGATGGACATCGCTCTAGTGTGTACCTTAAGCTTAAGACATAGGCATCACTGATAACCGTGATCTCCAATGGGTAGAGCATGCAGAAGAAATCACCTCAAAGGCCAACAAAACCCTTCGCAAATCAGGCGAGTTTGCCGCGATGTCAATCACGTTTAGATAAGAAAGCTGCTGTAATATCCTGCGGTCAGACCCAAACTTAAATAATGCTCCTGCCTATGCTCTCCTTGCACCATCATACATGGAGCATTAATTGAGAACATCTAAAGGTGTCCAACTAAGTTTATTCTTAACTACCCACCGAGTAACGTCTCTTATGCTGATGGGCTCGTAATGCTGGGCCTGCTGCCGGTAGAATACCGTACAGAAATTAAGGACATTGTTCGATTGCTTTCGACCAATATGCGTATTATGAAAAGCGCAAGAAAACAAAATTAGTCGTTCGCATATAAATCACAAGCCTCTCAACTTTATGAACTCTATGGTACGTCAAGCAATTTTGACAAACTCGACAAACGCTATCTATGTCCTGGCTTTCTATTTCTAAAGATGTAACAAACGTTTTCTATGCATACTGTGTATTAACAAGCACTAACAGGCGAAACGCTGAAATTTACCCTCGAGCATGCACTCCCTAAGGGGATAATTGAGTATGACAGAAGAAATAAATCCTAAAATGTCAACTATCGTCTTTGTTAAACAAATGTTTTATTTGAATCCCCTGTCACGAGTATATGTATATAAAAACAAAGAAAACAATTTTATACCCTAAAATAACTTTCAGGTCTCTTTGTGGCACCTCACAAGAATAAAGAAGTCCTAATTACTTTTCCTTTGTTTAAAGTTGGAACGTTTTATAAATATCACCGTTGATAACCACATAATCCTCGCATACCCGAAAAAAGAAATTAGAAAATACATATTGACAAGTGAAATTGAAGAACTTGAAGTTGGAAGTACCCAAAAATGTTTTTCATGCGGAAAGCCATCAGGGTTAATTTGATAAAACAAAGCAAACGAAAAAACAAAAGATAATATTTCACCGTACAGCCAGGCCAGGTGCTTTTACTGTCAGCTGATGCCACCCAGGATTGAAAAGAATGATTTTTTATAAGCCCCTTATTTGCAATTTTGAAACTTTTGAGGCAGGACAACATCATGTACTCGTATGCAAATCTTTTCAGGAAAGGCAAAGTACTTAAGAAAACGTGCGGGGTAGGGGGCGGGGAGGTGGTAGTGCGTATAGAGGGTCTACAATAAATACTCATTATGAACACCAATTTCCAGTGAAAGCTTTGTTACATCAGGTAGTGGGCTCGGACTGCAGGTCCTACTTTTTGACATTTCATATACATGAAGACATACATCTAAATTTTCCTAGATATAGATACTCAATATTGACTTTCTTTTTTTATTGTCTTCTCAACATATCTAGCCACAATTTTACATAAATCAATTTCTTACTCTCTGTGTTAAGACCTCAACTTTTCAGCCACGATTATCCCATTTTGAAACTTTATGGTCATGAAAAATCTATCCAAATTAGGTCCAGAAGTTTCCATCTAGGAAAGCCTGTAATACTATCGTTGCAGGACCCGCAAAAAAGGCTTATTTGGGCTACAGTGTAAATGAGTAAGTTACTTTCTCAATCAGTGCTCGGATTTCTGCGTCAAAATTTCCAGGATCGACACTTAAATATTACAGTGTGATGACGACATTTTGTATCATTCAAGTATTCTTTCTCTTATATAATTTGCTGAAAATTACACATGACCACCGTCAATATCACAGATTTCTCTGAAGTCGCAAAGGTTTTTTAAATGCATCTACACATCTCCTACGATAAGGCAACTATCCTATTGCTGCCATTCTCTATTTATTCCAAGCAAACGTTTATGTATTTTAATTAATAACTTATGGTCCTTTCCGTTTTCAGATACCTGGACCGCTTAGCAGATTCCCTTCAGCAAAAACTTATAGTCTTAGAAAAATGAGTATCGTTCATTGAAGTGATACCTGATAAACGACAGGCGACCACCATAGAATAGAGAGACTTGGAACCTAAACTTGAAATTATCATAACTAAAACAAAAGAACTTCAAGAACAGGTAAGACAGCAAAGTTATTACTTTCAATAGAATCTGTTGTTTTGTCGGCGGGTAGGGGAAGCACGAATTTTGTTATCAATTTGGAAATAAAAAGCCGTATACGTGTTGAATTTCGAAAATTTGACGTTTCAAGCCCTCTTGCCTATAATTACAAGGATGAGGTTTCGTATAACCTTACTCAACCATCTCAGCGAATATTACAGTGTTTTTTGACTCCCCCTGAAATTGCTTGACTCTCAAGAATGCAACTTTTTAATTACGGACCTACAGAAGACTTTGCCAAAATTTCTTTGAAACAAGGTAAATATTTTATTCTCATTTTTATGTGTATTTTTCGACTGTGATTATAACTACTAGACTATGAACATACATAATCTGAAGTGGCAGGAAGCTTAATTCTATGATGTCACGAGTATATGTAATTGAGATTATTTTAAATTCTGGATAACAGAAAGTTGTGATGGTGATAAACGTTTCTTCCATTGCAGGACCCGCAAAAAGGCTCCTTTAGGAGCCAAAAATATCAATGAAGGGCGGATCTAGGGTTTGGTCGGTGGGTCCCAACAACTCTCTTCTCTCACCATCGGACCTGTGGCATGGTGGATTTTTTTTTTTTTTTTTTTTTTTGCTACTTGTCTGACCCCTAAATTCTTGCAACTACAAGATTGCATTTGACCTGGTTTTACCAATCAATATGAAATATCTAAAATTTACATGTCTTGATATGATTGTCAGTTTATTTAGGCTACAACGTGAAAGAGTTAGTTGCTTTCTAAATTGGTGTTCGAAATTCCGTGTCAAAATTTCCAGGATCCATACCTAAATATTGCAATGTGAAATTTCAAGGATTCACACTCAGATAATACAATGTGATGACGACATTTGGTAACATTCAAGTATTCTTGCTCTTATATAATTTGCTGAAAATAACACATGACCACTGTCAATATCACGGATTTCTCTGAGTCGTAAAGTTTTTTTTAAAGCGTCTGCACAGCTCCTAAGATAAGACAGCTATCTTATTGCCGCCGTTCTCTATTTATTGCGAGCAAACGTTTGTGTACTTTAATTAACAACTTATGGTCCTTTCTGTGTCGGCGGGCAGGGGAAGTACGAAGTTTGTTATCAATCTGGAAATAAAAAGCCGTACACGTGTTGAATTTCGACAATTTGAGGTTTCAAGCAGTAGCCTGAATCTTCTGCCGGTGCAAAGGACTAAAGGCTAGCGTGCAAATGGTTAACCCTTCGAAAGTCATGATTTGTTACTTAATTATTTGTTGTTTGAATCCTCGACCTTGAACACTAAAATAATTTGCTGGACAACGGCCATCATGAGCTACCTATGATACATAACGCCTTGGGAAAGTAAAAGATGCGCGTTTCGAGTATAGCCATGTTCCACAAGTTTGCGTGAAGGTCCTGCGTTTCACCTGTTCTGAGATAGGTCTGACGTCTGCCTCACTCTGAAAGAGGAATGGAAGTGAAGGAAACAGAAGTCCTGGCGATATACCAACCCCTACCCGTGACAGTCTATTCTGTCGCCAATTGTCGACCCCATTTGAGTCACTTTTGGTAATACGGTAAAAAATGCTCCACCCCCACCCCCACCCCCACGCCCAGGTTTATCATATCAAACTCTTTCCCCAGTGCGACGAACATTTGTTTTTCTCGGTTCCAGGTGTACGCAACCACTAACTCCACGTAATGCGCATGCTTTCCGTTACGAATTTTCAAAATGGCGGACAGGCCAAAGAGGGAAATTAAAAAAACAAAGCGATTTTGCAATGAATACTCAACATACACCCTCGTTAGAAAGGCGAATCTACGGAAGAAAGATACAAAACTGTTGGTGGTATATATCTGGACCCTCATGGCCAGGGAAAGGCCTATGATTATCCTTTAAAGATGAAAGTTTACCTTGGAAACTCACCAAAGCATTTCGTTGTGCAAGCAAGGAAAATTCTTCAAGCACCTAAAATGCCCCGGCCTTGAGATGGTATCTCTCACAATTAATGCTAAAGCATGCATTGAAGAATATTTACCAACTTAACTTTTAGCTAATTAATGATTTTTGTAACACCAACGAGGCATTGATATTTGGTTGATAGAAGTACTTTTAAAGAAGGATTTGTAGTTTTTACATTTGAATGTATTTAACACATGATACAACATGCTTGTCATCAATAACATTAAATTATGTTTTTATATGAAACTGAATGTACTCAGAGGTGCTTTTAAGTTACCATTTTGATTGATATTTATTTCCCCTGGTTTTCAGCTTTTTAAAGGTAGCAGAATTTGAAGTGAATACAAGTCAAAGAGATATAAAAGTCAAGCGAAATAGAAGTTGTGCAGCAATGCCTCCCCTGTTGTTAGTGAAGGAGAGAAATGAGTTGGGTTTTGTTCATTTTGCAGAGTCCTTTCTTCCT